TTTCACATAAGCCACGTACCCCTGAGCGCCTTCCCTATACAGAGGGGTCTGCGTCTGCTGCAAGCCATTCGCGGGGGCGGCAGCCCATGGAACCAGCCTCTCACCGTGGAGCCCAGGACCCCAGAGCAGCGGCCCGGCGGCCACAGCCCCCCCCCCAGGACCCGCCGCCCCCCCCCACAGCAGCGGCCCGGCGGCCCCAGCCCCCCCAGGACCCCCCCCCCCACAGCAGCGGCCCGGCGGCCACAGCCCCCCCCAGGACCCGCCGCCCCCCCCCACAGCAGCGGCCCGGCGGCCCCAGCCCCCCCAGGACCCGCCGCCCCGCCCCCCACAGCAGCGGCCCGGCGGCCCCCCCCCCCCCCAGGACCCGCCGCCCCCCCACACAGGACCCGCCGCCCCCCCACAGCAGCGGCCCGGCGGCCACAGTCCCCCCGCCAGGACCCGCCCCACAGCTGCGGCCCGGCGGCCCCCCCCCAGGACCCGCCGCCCCCCCCCCACAGCAGCGGCCCGGCGGCCCCAGCCCCCCCAGGACCCGCCGCCCCCCCCCCACAGCAGCGGCCCGGCGGCCCCAGCCCCCCGCCAGGACCCGCCGCCCCCCCCCCACAGCAGCGGCCCGGCGGCCCCCCCCCCCCAGGACCCGCCGCCCCCCCCCCACAGCAGCGGCCCGGCGGCCCCAGCCCCCCCAGGACCCGCCGCCCCCCCCACAGCAGCGGCCCGGCGGCCCCAGCCCCCCCAGGACCCGCCGCCCCCCCACAGGACCAGGCCTCTCCGCCTTGCCCGCGCCCGGGAGCTGCCAACTCTGGCTGGGCGACAGAACCTTTACTTCCCGCCGAGGCCGGGCGGCCCGGGAGCCCGCCTGTCTCCTCACAGCGCCTCCCCCGCGGCCGGCTCGCCCGGCTCGGGGCCCGCCGGCGGGAGCCCGCCCCTCCGCAGGCCACGCCCCTCACGCCGCGGACGCTGCTCGCGCGGGGTGTCGACGTCACCCGCTCACGTGCGGTCGCTCCATGTCGTCACCGCGTCGGCGCAGCCCCTACCTGGGCCCGAGAGCCAGGAGCCAGGCGCGCAGCCAAGGAGCCGCCCGGCCGGGCTGAGCGGGGCCGCGCACCGGCGCGCGAGGGGCCGCAGCCAGCGGGCGGCCAGGTACCAGGCGGCGCAGCGGGCGGGGGCGCCGGGCGCGCGCGCGGCGCGAGGGGGGCTCCCGGCGGGCCCGCGCGGCAGAGGCGTCGGGCGCGCGCTCAACGTCCGTGTCGCGGGGGGCCCGGCCGCGTCTGAGCCGCTCCCTCGCTCCGCAGGCGGCGCCCGGCGCGGAGCGCGATGGCCCCGCGGCTGCAGCTGGAGAAGGCGGCCTGGCGCTGGACCGAGACCGTGCCGCCCGAGGAGGTGACGCAGGAGCACATCGAGGCGGCCTATCGCGTCGGGCTGGAGCCCTGCCAGCGCGGCGTGTGCAGGTACCGCCCCCCCGCCCGGGGCAGGCCCGGCCCGGCCCGCCTGGGCCGCCCGCCCCGCCCGCGCTCTCCCGGCTCCGGGCCGGCCCGGCTGCGATGGCGGGCTCGGCGCGGGGCTGGCCCGTCCCCGGCGGCGCCCACGTGACCCCCGCCGGCGAGCCCGAGCCGAGCCCGGGCCGAGCCCGGGGCGCTACACGCCGCCCAAGCGCTCTGCCGCCCGCCCGCCCCTCTGGCTGTAGCGGCCGCAGAGAGCAGCGAAGCCCTGGGCACCTGCGACTTCCAAGTTGGCACCGTTCCGGTGGCTTTCAGTGTCTTGCCGGGCGCCGGGCCCTGGGCCTGGTGGGGACCAGCCTGCTCCCACTTCCGATGGATTTACCGGAACGGCTGCTTCTGCCTCCGCTAGGGAGGGGCTTTTGTCTACAGACATTTCTTGGAAAACTCGCGTAGCCCAGCAGTAAATGCCTTTAGGCAGACATACGCCATGAACGCACCCCGTCTACTCTAAGTATGTTAAAATACCCGCCTGCCCCCAATGGGCTGTCGGTGCCTGCTGAACAAGTGACAACATCAAGCCCTTTCCACCATCTCCGGCTTGTCACCCTGTTACCTGTGGGTGAGCGAGCTGGACGAGGTATAGGAGCACTGTCACGAGCAATCAGGCAGCATCGCTGTGAGCTGTAAATTGCCTTTGTAAAACCAAATAAAAATGCCCTTTGTGGAGAAAGTGGTATTTCTGCTCATTTCAACAACTAAAACGAGGATTTTGTTTGGGTGAGTTGTACTGAGATTAACACTAACCAGTACCTCCAAGCCTGTTCCGTAAAAACCAGAACCTGTTGGTCATAAATTAAAGAACACATACTATGACTAAAGAAAACTTCTCAAGTTACTTCTGAGTGTTCTTTATTCTGTTTGCTGTTGCCCTTTGTTTTGCAAATAAAAATAATTTGGTTCACCTTGTCCGCTGCCTGTTTATGCACTAATTACAAATGGCAAGCGTATTGTCTATAATTTAGTGTTTTCATAACTCTTTTTGTAGAAGAAACTGCAGAGGAAACCCAAACTGTTTGGTTGGGATTGGTGAACATGTTTGGTTAGGAGAAATTGATGAAAATAGCTTTCACAACATTGATGACCCAAACTCTGAACGGAGGAAAAAGGTAAAAGAAACTCTTCTTTTGTCATTCAGACTGTAGCTCTAGTTTTGCAAATGCTTTCTACTTATGTGAGGAAAGTTTATATATCTGCTTACGTGTTTGTAGGTTAAGGGCCTATATAGAAGAACCCTCTTCTTCAAAGAATACCATATTGACTGGATTCCCATTACTGGGTTTTAGCTCCCGAGTATGGGTCTGGAATTCCCTTAGCATTCAAAGATTTGAGGCACTAGTTGTTCATTCCCCACCTGAGACCAGCTCTGAATGCCTCAGTGCATTCAATTTCATTTCCTTGATGAGCAGAATGCAATGAATTCTCTGCATTCTAACAATAAGAGGCATCCAAAGAAATCACCAGAAGAGAATTAGAAGTTCAAAATGTTACGTGCTTCCCTCCAGAGTTAAGAAACAGGACAGGGAAGTGTGTTAGTATAATTAGAGTCAGATGATATCTGCAGATAAGCAGAATTACAGATGAACAATTGTCTATTTAATGACACCATGTTGATTGGACACGTGCTGTTGGAGACTAAGAAGTTTGAAGGAAAACTCCAGAAATCTGTAGAGTCTCAGCACCAATAACTAGTTACAAACTCAGCTAAAAGCAGTAGTGTAGAAAGAGCCTAACTGACACTCAGTTTTATCAGTCTGCTCCTTTTAAATAGGAATTAATTCATATCATGTTTTCTGTTAGAACGCCTTTGTAGGCCTAACGAACCTTGGAGCCACATGCTACGTGAACACTTTCTTGCAGATGTGGTTTCTTAACTTGGAACTTCGGCAAGCGCTTTACTTGTGTCCAAGCACCTGCAGTGAATATGTAACTGGTGAAGGCATCCCTAAAGACAGAGGTTAGTGGAAGGTCACAGCATCTCCCAAGCCTGTGTCTTGTTATAAACAAAAGTTGCTTTAATTATCTGAGCAAAGAGAGAAGTTTAATGTATTTGAATGAGCTACTCTGAAATTTTGTGAACCTGATGGTGTGAAGTCATTTTCTGCTTTATAAAGTGAAACATAGTAAACCATATTAAGTGACTAGAGAGGGAAAAATTAGAAGAAATATTAATTCTCATGTTTCAGGACATTATTTTACCGCTAGATGACTGGGAATAGGAAGAAGATTCCACCCATAGGCATATTTCATGCGAGAACTTCAGTCCCACATAAGGAAATTATGTAGAAAAATCTGGCATTGGCCACTGTTGGTGCTAGAATTATGTACTAGATAGATTGTTCACACTAGATTAGACCAGTGGCCCATGTTCTTTGTTTGGCGTGCTATAGGTGTGCTTTGCAGTTAATGTGGCTTAACGGTATGCTGCTTTCTGTTTTACACCATGGAATACTGCATTGTAATATCTGTTTTACCATGCTTTTAAAAGTACTCTTGCAGCTGGTATTTCACATCAGATAAAATACATTTTTGGCCATTTTTGGTAAGGTGTTACTTTTAGCCCATCACTTCATTTGTTGGAGGAGGTACTCAGAAGATAGGGTATTTTGAAAGCAACAAAATATTGTGGAAAACCTCAAGTGTACAACATAACAGAATTTAATATTAACTAATAGCCTTAGGGCCTTCTCCCCCTACTGAACGTTGGCTGTGGGAAAGGCAGTGCAGTCTAAAATGGGAAAATCTGTCTTCTTTAGAACTATGATTTTTCTGATTCTTAATTTTAACCACTTTAGAGCTCATGACGATTTATAATGTAAGCTGTAAACAAGAACAGCTTGTTTTGGCCATCAAGATGTGTATTTAAAAAAGTTTCTTCCATTGACTAACAAAAAGTAAATTATTCTACTTGGAACGACTTTAATTTTCTCTTGTATTGTTTTGAGAAAAACTGTAACTTGCTGATCACTAACTTGGGCATTTTTTTTTCCAATAGATTATGAACCCCAGACAATTTGTGAACATCTTCAGTATTTGTTTGCTTTGTTACAGAACAGTAATAGACGATATATTGACCCCTCCGGGTTTGTTAAAGCACTAGGTTTGGATACAGGACAACAACAGGTAGTCTTGAGGTTTTTATATTTGATGAACTTTCCTTTTGAACAAATTGGGCATGGTGGAACGTTTATCCTGTAACAGAGCATAAAAGCCTATTGACTGGATTGTCAGTAGGTGTAAATTGGCATTGTTTGGTAGATTTCATTGTAGCTGTGCTGATTTACACCTTGAGGAGCAGGCCTTAGATTTAAAATGAAAAAACTGATTAAAATCATACTGTCTTGCTTGCTTGTGCTTTTACTTTTCTGTTGCTTGACTAGAACTATCATGTAAACACAAGTAACTTGTATTTGTGTGCTGAGACACTGCAAAGCAGTGTCATGGTGGGTCTCAAAGAGGTATGAGAAACCCTGGAGCCACACTTGGGTGATTGTTTTTTTCTAGAGGTCATCTAATGCATCTGAGGATGCTGAGGGAGTTGGCTGATATGAATGCAGAGCCATTGGCCATTATCTTTGAAAACTCGTGGCGATCTTGGGGGTCCCAGATGATTGGAAAAAGGCAAATATAGTGCCCATCTTCATAAAGGGGAAGAAGGAGAATCCGGGGAACTACAGCCTCACCTCAGTCCCTGGAAAAATCGTGGAGCAGGTCATCGAGAAATCCATTTTGAAGCACTTGGAGAGGAAGGTGATCAGGAACAGTCAGCATGGATTCACCAAGGGCAAGTCAGCCTAACCAACCTGATTGCCTTCTATGATGAGAGAACTGGCTCTTTGGATATGGGGAAAGTGGTGGACTTACCTAGACTTCAGCGAAGCTTTTGATACGGTCTCCCACAGTATTCTTGCCAGCAAGTTAAAGAAGTATGGCTTGGATGAATGGACTGTAAGGTGAATAGAAAGCTGGCTAGATTCTCAGGCTCAATGGGTAGCGATCAATAGCTCAATGTCTAGTAGGCAGCAGGTATCAAGTGGAGTGCTCCAGGAGTCTGTCCTGGGGCCGGTTTTGTTCAAAGTCTTCATTAATGATCTGGATAATGGGATGGATTGCATCCTCAGCAAGTTCGCGTTTGACTCTAAACTGGGGGGAGAGGTAGATATGCTGGAGGGTAGGGATGGGATACAGAGGGACCTAGACAAATTAGAGGATTGGGCCAAAAGATATTCTGATGCGGTTCAAAAAGGACAAGTGCAGAGTCCTGCACTTAGGACGGAAGAATCCCATGCCCTGCTACAGGCTGGGGACTGACTGGCTAAGCGGCAGTTCTGCAGCAAAGGACCTAGGGGTTACAGTGGATGAGAAGCTGGATATGAGTCAAAAGTGTTCCCTTGTTGCCAAGAAGGCTAACAGCATACTGAGCTGTATTAGTAGGAGCATTGCCAGGGAGATCAAGGGAAGTGATTACTTCCTTCTATTCGGCACTGGTGAGGCCACACCTGGAGTATTGCATCCAGTTTGGTCCCCCCCACTACAGAAGGGATGTGGACAAATTGGAGAGAGTCCAGCGGAGAGCAACGAAAATGATCAGGCGATTGGGGCATATGACTTATGAGGAGAGGCTGAGGGCTTATTTAGTCTGCAGAAGAGAAGCGTGAGGGGGGATTTGATAGCAGCTTTCAACTACCGAAGGGGGGTTCCAGAGAGGATGGAGCTCAGCTGTTCTGGTGGTGGCAGATAACAGAACAAGGAGTAATGGTCTCAGGTTGCAGTGTGGGAGGTCTAGGTTGGATATTTCACGAGGAGGGTGGTGAAGCACTGGGATGGGTTCCCTAGGGAGGTGATGGAATCTCCATCCTTCGAGGTTTTTAAGGCTTGTTTTGACAAAGCCCTGGCTGGGATGATTTAGTTGCGGTTGGATTATAATGATTATATGAAGTGGAAATCCATCAACCTCATCAAAAAACTCTGAGATTCAGACAGACCTCACCTTCCTCTCCAAGTGCAAACAGATGGACATCATACCAGATGGACTGAAGGTAAAAAAAAAAAATCCATTGCAATTGACATACTTCACTGACTGTGGAGAGAGATTGTGCCACACGTTCTCAGAGAAACTGAGGAACCCCCTGATCAGCATCCTGTACAGCAGACAGGAGAAGATCAAGAATGAGCTCGCAAAACTGGAGACTCTCATTCAAAACCAACCTTCCACATAAACTGCCATGTGGGTGGACTTTACAAAAATGAGACAAGCCATTTACAATGCAGACTTCACTTCTCTACAGAGGAAAAAGGACAGTAAACTATCTAAACTCCTACATGCCACAGGGGGCTACAACAGTGGTACCCTCAACTCACCTAACAATATTGTTAATCTGTCCAACCACACATTTAGCCTGGCAGAAGAGACTGTCCTATCTCGGGGACTCTCTTTCTGCCCCACCACCCCCATGAACATGATACCGTTCTGCGGTGATCTGGAAGCCTACTTTTGACGTCTCCGACTCAAGGAATATTTTCAACATACCACTGAACAGCGCACTGACCCACAGGGACCCTCCTACCAACACTAAAACAAGAAGAATTCTGCGTGGGCCCGTCCTGATGATCAAAACAACAGACTGTGGACTTCTACAAAGAGTGCATCCGCAGATGTACACAGGTTGAAATTGTAAATAAACAGCATCACTTGCCCAATAACCTCAGCCGTACAGAACACAATATAATCCACAGCCTCAAAAACAACTCTGACATTATAATCAAAGGGACTGACAAAGGAGGTGTTGTAGTCATAATGAACAGGTCGGATTATGAGCAGGAGGCTGCCAGGCTCCAACACCACATTCTACACGCCGCTATCCTGTGACCGCACTGAGGGTTACCAAAAGAAACTACACCATCTGCTCATGAAACTCCCTGCTACGGCACGGGAACAAGTCTACACGGACACACCCCCAGAGCCCCGACCAGGGGTATTCTATCTACTACCCAAGATCCATAAACCTGGAAATCCTGGACGCCCCATCATCTCAGGCATCAGCACTCTTACAGCAGGATTTTCTGGCTATTTAGACTCTCTGCTCAGACCCTATGCTACCAGCATTCCTAGCTATCTTCAAGACACCACCAACTTCCTGAGGCAACTACAGTGTGTTGGTGATCTTCCTGAAAACACCATCCTGGCCACCATGTATGTAGAAGCTCTTTACACCAATATTCCACACAAGGATGGGCTACAAGCTGTCAGGAACGGTATCTGTGTTGAGGCCACAGCACACATGATGGCTGAGCTTTTTGACTTTGTCCTCACCCACAACCATTTCAGATTTGGGGACAATTTGTACCTTGAACTCAGCGGCACTGCTATGCGTACCCACATAGCCCCACAGTATGCCAACATTCTTGTGGCTGACTTAGAACAACGCTTCCCCAGCTCTCGTCCCCTAGTGCCCCTCCTCTAGTTGCGCTGCATTGATGACATCTTCATCATCTGGACCCACAGGAAGGAGGCCCTTGAAAAATTCCACCTGGATTTCAACAATTTCCACCCCAACATCAACAGCAACCTGGACCAGTCCACACAAGAGATCCACTTCCTGGACGCTATAGTGCAAATAAGCAATGGTCACATAAACACCATCCTTATTGGAAACCTATTGACTGCTATACTTACCTGAATACCTCCAGCTTCCATCCAGGACACATCACACGATCCATTGTCTACAGACAAGCGCTAAGATACAACCGAATTTGCTCCAATTCCTCAGACAGAGACAAACACCTACAAGATCTTTATCAAGCACTTTTACAACTACAATATCACCATAGGGAAGTGAGGAAACAGACTGACAGAGCAAGACAGGTACCCAGAAATCACCTACTACAGGACAGGTCAATAACAGAACAGAAAAATAACAGAACAGCACTGGCCCTAACATATAGCCCCCAGCTAAAACCTGATCATCAATGACCTACAACCTATCCTGGAAAACAATCCCACACTCTCACAGACCTTGGGAGGCAGGCCAGTGCTCGCTTACAGACAGCCCCCCAACCCGAAGCAAATACTCACCAGCAACTACACACCACACCACAGAAACACTAACCCAGGAAGCAATCCCTGTAGCAAACCTTGTTGCCTACTCTGTCCCCATATCTACTCTAGCGACACCATCAGAGGACCCAACCACATAAGTCACACCATCAGGGGCTCATTCACCTGCACGTCTACTAATGTGATATACGCCATCATGTGTCAGCAATGCCCCTCTGCCATGTACATTCGTCAAATCAGACGGTCCCTAAGTAAAAGAATAAATGGACACAAATCGGACATCAGGAATGGTAACATACAAAAGCCAGTCGGAGGACACTTCAGTCTCCCTGGACATTCTACAACAGATTTAAAAGTAGCCATACTTCAGAAACAGACTTCAAAGAGAAACTGCAGAGCTACAATTCATTTGCAAATTTAACACCCTTAATTTGGGCTTGAATAGGGACTGGGAGTGGCTGGCTCACTACAAAAGCAACTTTCCCTCTCTTGGTATTGACACCTTCCCATCAGGGATTGGGAGTGGACCACATCCAACCCGATTGAATTGGCCCTGTCATCACTGGTCCTCCACTTGTAAGGTAACTTCCTTCTCTTCATGTGTCACTATAATAACGTCTGCATCTGTAATTTTCACTCCGTGCATCTGAAGAAGTGGGTTTTTTGCCCACGAAAGCTTATGCCCAAATAAATGTTAGTCCTTAAGGTGCCACCAGACTCCTCGTTGTTTTTGTGGATACAGACTAACACAGCTACCCCTCTGATACTTGACTTCTTATTTATTTTCTCCACGCCAGTCAAGACTTGATAGACCTCCATCATATCCCCTCTTACTCGTCTCTTTTCTAAGCTGAAAAGTCTGTCTTTTTAATCTCTCCTCACACAGAAGCTGTTCCATGTCTTTAGCAAAGGATACTCCATTCCCTAACAAAGGAAGATTAATACACTTTAAACTACTGTGTGCTGTTTTTACAACATAAGCAGTGCTCTGAAAAAGCCTGTCAGTCAAATATTTGTTTCAGTATTCTTGTGGGGAAAAAATTGGCTCACAATGTGGAGTTAGAAAGTGAGAATAATGGGATTTATATCATAAATGAGCCACTCCTGTTGTTCAGTCGCACATTGCAGTCCAGAAATCAAACACTTCTTAGCTACCAGCACTGTACCAATTTCATTCATGCTGGTATTCTCATGCTAGGTGTCTTACGTTCCCTTTACTCAAGTTCAATTTTTTCTTAGCCCTCTTAACTTGTATTTTTCTATTCATCATGCTCCTTAGTACACTTCCATGTAATTTGGTATGTGGGTCTCCATCACGGACATAATTCAGTAAATTAGAGAGGTAGGTTCTGACTCCACTTTTGAGTTGCAGTATATTACCAAGTATTGCTGTTTTGTTCTAGGATGCCCAGGAATTTTCAAAGCTATTCATGTCACTGCTAGAGGATACTTTGTCTAAACAAAAAAATCCAGATGTACGGAACATTGTTCAAAAGCAGTTTTGCGGCGAGTATGCATATGTCACTGTGTAAGTAGTTGCTTTAATTCTCTAGTGGTGCTTTCTTGCTCAGTGTGTTTGCCTATTCTTCTGGTCACCTTCCTACAAATATTGAAGACTTTTTTTTGGTGGGGGAGAGGAGGGCATGAGTGGGAAGGAGCCATTCTTTTTTAATCTTTAGCAGAAGGGAAGGTGACTTTTGTTAAATTATTTTTAAACTAAAAAATGTTTTCAGTGTGTTTTAAAATCTTGAGTTTCTTAAAAATAAGACTGTTTGCATAATTTTTAACATTCTACAGTTTATCTATTTTTCTGTAATTCATCCTTTAGTAAAGGAAAGTAACTCACAAATAAATAGCCACCTGAATTATTTAATTATGTGGATTAATTCCCCATATCTAGAACATGTGGTATTATGGTGCCCCAATGCTTGTTTTGTTTCCCAGTAGTGGAATTGTAAATTATGTTTGAAACATACCATAAAGATCAGTTGTAAATGGGCATTTCTTTACTTCCTGCTGGATGCTCTCTTCTCTCTGTACGAGGTCCTCTTCTGTGACCCGTGCAATCTTGGAAACAGAGTGTTGGAGATAATTTAATCCATTCTCTCCTGGTTTAACAATCAGAGGAAGAACTTCAGCAGTAAAGTTTTCTGGTGGTTAAATGACTGACACTTTAAGACATGTACTGATCTATTTTAATTTATTTTTAATTCTAGCTGTAACCAGTGTGGCAGGGAGTCCAAACTCATATCGAAATTTTATGAACTGGAGTTAAATATCCAAGGGCACAAGCAGTTGACAGACTGTATCACAGAATTTCTTAAGGTACCAATTCCTATGGAATCCTACTGTTTCTGTAGCACCCACAAAGCATTAGTCTCCTTGCCTGTTGAGAGGGTGTTTAAGTTTTTCCCTTTTTGTTCAAGAAGTGCTTTAATTTTCAACATGGTATCACAGTTAGTGGTCAGAGCTTTGAATCTACTCAGCGGGGTGACGAGTAACAATTTGGGTTTTCTATCCTAAATGTGGGCCCAGTCCTGTACTCCTAATTCAGATGAAACTTTTAATGAAGTCAGAGAACAAGGAGTGTGTTAATGGTAAAATAATGGCAATTAAAGAGAGACATCTTTCTGAAAATATTCCATTTAAAATTACTAGAACTGAAAGATTAGAAAGTATTTCTCAGTTTGTTTGCTTTTTCGTTCGTAGCACTCTGTGTGTATGGTCATTTCCCTTGCTTCCCTGGCTTGTCAACTGCAGAGCTTTTTAAAAACTAAAATATTGGCAGGTGGCTCTGGACAAGCAGCCTCAGCACCTACGTCTGCTTTTAATGCATATTTAAAATTTGATTAGAACTCAGGTTCAGGGTGTTTAAGGCTTGAGTTACGAAAGTCATTAAAATTATTAAGGGCAAAGTTAATTATAAGTTTAGTCTTTTGCTCTGTAATTAGTCCAGTAGTTTGGTGAAGCAGGGTGACTTGCTTGACCATGTTGCTTTGCTTGTGAAAGGCCTTCTACAATAAAAAGCAAACAACTACATGTCTGCAAATCTAAGAGATGCATTAGGAGGCTACCACACCCCAAGACTACCGTATCTCCGCCTTGCAACAATGAACTTGGGCTTGAAGGTTTGCCTTACAATTAAAAGGCAAGCCTTCTTGCTTACATTTGGCCCTTGCTGATCCACATTGGAGTTAATTTGGCTCAGCATGGGGGAAGGGATCCATCTACATGGGTCTCATTGCATGTTCATTGCTCAGATATGGCTTTCTATTCATTCTGGCCATACAGCCATGCCACACTACCTATGTGACCTCATTAAATTAGAATTTTCCACCATCTCTCTGGTAGAAGCCAAGTTTGCACATCTCTCTGTACTGTGGAGGGCAATTTTGATAATCTGCCTGATATTGCAACTGGGGTTTATGTCTTCCAGACTGAACTCAGGTGGTTTCCTCAGACTGACTGCCTATTAATAACTATGATAACTTTACTGGGTGGTGAATCCAGAGCTTTCAGTATCTTCTATGCTGTCTTGTACTATCACTCCAAAGTATTTTGGAATACAGCTTGAATGATATAGTTAGAACTCTCACATTTTAACTTGGTATCTATATATAGTTTTGAATCTCAGGCTAGAGCAGGGATCTCAAACTCACATCACCAGGAGGGCCACATGAGGACTAGTACATTGGCCCGAGGGCCGCATCACTGACACCTCCCACCCTGCTGCCCCGGCCCCGCCTCCACTCCACCCCTTCAATGAGTCCCCACCCCCTCCCTGCCCCTATTCCAACCCCTTCCCCAAATCCCGGCGTCTTCTCCGTCTCCTCCCCTGAGTGGGCAGCTCCCCGCTCCTCTCCTCTCCCTCTTGGAAAACCCGAAGCACTGCCAAACAGCTGCTTTGGCTGTGGGAAGCGCTGGAGGTAGGCAGAGGAGCGGGGAAGTGGTGCACTGGGGGGGGACGGGGATGGTGGGTGAGGGGAGTTTGGCTGCCACAGGAAATAACTCGGGGGGCGGGGGGGGGGCATCTCCGGGGGGCGGTGGGGAGCGCCAGGGGGAGCTTGGTGGGCCGCAGCAAATAACTCTGCTGAGCATAGAATTAATGTTGCACTCTGTAACATGTACTGATGACCTTCCTTTTTTTCTTGGTCAGGAAGAAAAGTTAGAAGGGGACAATCGTTACTTTTGTGAAACTTGTCAGAGTAAACAAAATGCAACAAGGAAGATCAGGCTGCTTAGTCTTCCATGTACACTCAACTTGCAGCTGATGCGTTTTGTGTTTGACAGGTAAGTGACCTAACCTGTATGTGTTGTAAACCTAGGAAGGATATTGGTCACTCGGAAATGCTTGTAGTTACTTTCTCTGCTTTGGCTTTTACTTCATACAACTTGGTTCTATTCAGCAAGTCTGAACTGAGTTACATGATATGAATTTGAGCATCTGTGCACTTAATTTTTTGTTTCAGAGTAGCATCCGTGTTAGTCTGTATCCGCAAAAAGAGGAGGAGGACTTGTGGCACTTTAGAGACTAACCAATTTATTTGAGCATAAGCTTTCGTGAGCTACAGCTCACTTCATCGGATGCATTCAGTGTGAAGTTCATTTAACTATTCAGTAGTCTCATCTGTTAAATACAGTAGTGATTTGCAAATTAAAATTTTAGATTAAATATGCAAAAAGATGTTTACTCTCCTTGCTGCATTGAATACTTGTACATGAAAGTCTTGTAATTTGTTTTTGAATAGACAAACTGGCCATAAGAAAAAGTTGAATACTTACATTGGTTTTTCTGAATTGCTTGATATGGAACCTTTTATGGAACAAAAAGGTGAGTTATACATGAAGTATTAATTGACTAATTGTACTAATACAGCCATTAGCTGCCAAGATCTTGCCTGAACCTGTCCTCTAGCTGAAAACAACTAAAACAGTTGTGCTAATGAATAAGTCATTTCTGGCTATTAACCTTTTTATTTAAAATGGAAGCTTAAGCAGTGTTTGTCCTCATTTGATAAACCAGCAGTTGAGTTTAGGTACTTTAACAAAAATTGCTAAATTTCAAACTGTTTGGAGCTCTGGCTACCAGATTTGTGAGTTAAGAATGTATACATCACAACGTGTGTGCTGCTGCTCTCTTTGGGAAGTAATAGGGAAAAAAATTATGCTGTGTTGTGTATACGTCTTGTATAAAGTAAGTCTTGGTACAGTTCTTAAAAGAACTTTTTTGCTGCTTGTGTTCTTTATTTTCTGGTGGATTAAAAAACTGCCTGTTCTCTTTCAGATGGTGTCTATATATATGAACTTAGTGCAGTTCTTATACACAGGGGAGTGAGTGCATATTCTGGTCACTACATTGCTCATGTGAAAGACCCTCAGACTGGTGAATGGTACAAGTTTAATGATGAAGACATAGAAAAGATGGAGGGGAAGAAATTGCAACTGGGGATTGAGGAAGATCTAGGTAAAACCTTTAAGTTGTGAGTGCCCTTTTAAAATAACTTTTCACCAAAAACATGGAGGCTAAATCAATTGCCCTGATATATGTATTGAGTGATTTGCAGTCATAACTTTTTAACATTTTTTTAAGGGTAACTAATGAAATTGCAACTTGATTAGTTGCAGCCAATTTTTAACCCTCACCCCAACCCCATCTGATTGTTGAATGTCTTACGGGCCTGGTGATGACTGACTTTACTTCAGTTCTCTTATAGATTGTAATATGGCAAGTAGTGAGCATATCTACCTAGACAACCATTTTTTAAACAAATCATTAACTTGCGTATTGGTAAAATGTATGCAAAGCTGTTTCTTCCCAACCCAGCACACAGAATGAGGCTTTATTATTAGAGAGCAAGATTATTTTTAGTTACCTTTTGTATATTTACTTCCACTGAGGAGGTTGTTCATCTTTTTGAAGGGGAACTGAAAAGTTTTCATAAATCTCAAAACCAAAACATTTTTGGAGCAAAAACTACATAATATTTTTATCTTTTATATCACTTCTTTTCTTCTTCTTCCCGCCCCCTTCCAACCCCTCCCCCCCCCAAATATTACATTGACATTGTTGGTCTTGACTTCCCTGAGTTTGCTGAAGAGCTTCAGCTTGCTCTGCTTGCAGCTGATGTGGAGGAGCTATTGAGTTCTGAACTAACAGTCTGAGTGCCTGAATCGGCAAATTCCTGTGACTGTGAGTAACTTCAGTGAGTGTGTCGGTGCTCAGTACTTCTCAGGATGGATTTGTAGGCTTGGGCAGAGTCATTCTAGTGCTTTAACAAAAGCAGGGAAGTGTCAGACCAGATTTTTCTCATCTAAAAAGCAAGCAGAAAAATCCCTTTTTCAAAGAGTTGAGGCTATGCTTGTACAAAGGGAAGTTTTCTTGACTGACTTAAAAGGCCCTCAGTTTTCTGACAGAGCACCATAAATATGGCCTTTAGGACTTTTTAAATCTATTTTTTACCTGATCCATCATTTGTTGTATAAGGTTCTTCTGGGGAACCCTGAGAACAACACCAAACATGCTCAGGCCTCCCCTGCCTTCCTCTCTCCCCCCACCCCCCGACTTCCTCCATGCACGCACCTGTCTGATGTCTCTTCGTTTTCAGCTTTGCTGCTTGTTGTTGGTAAAGTTAGTGGTGAAGAGCATGTATGTGAACTCCCACTAGACCTGTGATTTTTGTCATGCTTAGTGCATGAGTGATGAAATTGACCCTCGTGAAGCTGATTATACACAGTGCTGTCAAATCGCAAAACACAGAAAAATGGTTTTCTTTTATCTTTGTTCTGTTAGCCTCATGGGTTACTCATTGGTTTACTTGTAACAGTAAGTTAAAACATTCAGATCACAAACAATATTAAGCCAGGGTCCCACAAAGTCTCATGCATATGCGTAACTTTAAGCACAGATGTAGTCCCACTGAAGTCAGTAGGGCTACTCGGGGTCTTAAAGTTAAGTATGTTGATTAATATTTGTGGTTTTGGAGCTTTTATGTGCAAAGAGTTATAAATACAAACTTTGTTCAGTGTGTGTGAGTGATTTTCCCAGCTCCTCCCAAGCCCTGAGTTCAGGGTTCTTTCTCCTGTAAGAGCAGATCATAGAATCATAGAATATAAGGGTTGGAAGGGACCCCAGAAGGTCATCTAGTCCAACCCCCTGCTCGAAGCAGGACCAAATCCCAGTTAAATGATGCCATCCCAAACGTATATAGCTGTGGAAGGAGTTCTGCTTCAGGTACTGGAGATCTGCTTATCTGCTGCAGGGAAACACTCTTGAACTCTGGCCCTGCATGGGGGACAGACTTGCAAATAAGTGTGGATTGTTATGCTGGAGGGCTAAGTGTTTGTGGCCTATCAGTGTAGTAGTGGAGTTTCCCAAGAAATAACAATATATGCCTACAGTATTTTCTTTGTGTTGTATTAAAGGTTTGATAATAAGCAGGTTTTTCCTTTACTTTTTTTTTTAAACTTTGTTTTTAAAATTGCAAATGTATATGCATATTTTTGTAAATTTCATTTTTCTGACAGGCTGGAGATTAAGATAGAATTACAGATTGAGAAATATTGGTTGGTATTATATGGCCAAATTTTTTCCATCTCTTAAAGGTGGAAGTTGGAACCAGCCACTCTGGAATAACTCTTTATTTCCTGCACTGCACTTTGATATTTATAGGTGTCATGTAGTGGGAAAGGACATGTTTCTGTTATGTGCATAAAACAATGTTTAAATTCTCTGCAACACAATCTAAGTAAGCATTAGACAGTGTTATTTGGTATAAGGAAATCTGCATTGATAAGACTGTGTACACAATATGCAGGACAAACTGTCCGTATTACGTTGGAGAAAAGTTCTGGCGAGGTTGGAGGTAGTGTGTATGTGTTAGGGAAGAATTGAAATGAGATATGTGATATTCCCCATTAAAGTAGAATAAATATGTTGGCATGCATGTTTATTATTTTTTGACTTCTGTACCTCAGCAGAGCCTTCTAAGTCTCAAACTCGTAAACCCAAGTGTGGGAAAGGAACTCACTGCTCTCGAAATGCTTACATGTTGGTGTACCGACTGCAAACACGGGAAAAATCTCTAACAGCAGAAGTCCCAAGTAAGTGAACTTGGACTTTTCAAACCTATTCCTGTCAGATATAGCGAGGCCTCGTAAGTCTGTTTGGGTCAGTTCCAGAGGGAAATTAGCACTTCCTCTTAAATACTTTTTGCAGCACTGAGTCCAGTAAAATAAAAGCTTATCTTAAATGATCCAACGATTATTCCAGCAATAAGCACTCACTCCATAGTGCACTGGTAATTATAACTAATACACTTATTGCATAGTGTACCAGTCACTCCTGGTCCTGATACGTGCATCAGCAGTGGCTTATTGATATTTGTTTCTATTTGACTTGCTAAATGTATACATAACTTTTTTAAAGAATTAAGTTTTGCAATGTATTCTTCCACTATGAAAAATAGTTCCTAGGAAAGTGGAAAAAATATGAGCAAAAAGTCCATACATACCTTTTTATCTATATATTTAATATACACCTCTACCCTGATATAACGCGGTCTTCGGGAGTCAGCGTTATAGGTGAGACCGTGTTATATCGAACTTGCTTTGGACCCCTATTCCTTGTTCCCTGACCACCTCCTCCAGAGACCCCCATCCCTAATCACCCCCAGGACCCCACCCTCTACCCAACCCCGCTGTCCCCTGACTGCTCTGATCCCTATCCACACCCCATGCCCCCGAACAGGCACTCACCAGCAGCGGCGGGAAGTGGAGTAACGCAGCCGCGGTGCTCCACTTCCCGCCGCTGGTGAGTGCAGGGAGGTTGGGGGAAAGGATGCCCTCTGCACTCAACGGCGGCAGGAAGTGGAGCAACGCGGCCCCAGCCTGCTCCGCTTCCCTTGCCCCAGCCCCAGCTGTGTTGGGGGGGGGCGGGGGGTTGGGGAAAGGTCCCGCACTCACCTGCAGCGGGAAGCAGAGCACCGTGGCTGGTAGCTAGCGGAGTGGGGTGGGCTGGGGCCGGGCTGCTCCACTTCCGCCGCTGCTGGTGAGGGCGGGGGGGGAATCCCTTCCCCCAAGCCCCCTCCCCCGAGCAACACAGCTGGGGCTGGGGCGAGGGAAGCGGAGCGGGCTGCTCCCGGCCCCCCCGCTAATCCCCCAGGCTGCTCTGGGACTGCAGGGCCCCCAAAAGTGCCCCCCCACAGCTCCTGCCTCCCAGACCCTCTGCCCCTTATCCAACCCCTCGGCCCCAGCCCGGCCCAGCTCCCTTAACGTGCTGCTCAGAGCAGTGTGTTGGAGCTTTACTGTATTGTTTGTGAACCCACCTTATATCTGGGTAGAGGTGTATTTGTGTTGTAGTTCTTAACCTTTTGTCTTCCACCCCTATTGTGCTCTTCCTTTCCCCCTCTAAAAGCCTTTCAGCAGCAGTTTGTGGCCCAACAGCCAGTCTTCTCTCACCTTCTTTTACAAAATAATTTAGAATACTGGAAAGTTACCCCCCAGTTAGCTTTTTCATTAAAAACAGGTTTCAGAGTAACAGCCATGTTAGTCTGTATTCGCAAAAAGAAAAGGAGGACTTGTGGCACCTTAGAGATTAACCAGTTTATTTGAGCATAAGCTTTCGTGAGCTACAGCTCACTTCATCGGATGCAAAAAACAGTGGCGTGTCTGAAAGGATATCACATTGCAGTTCAAATGACAGTTTGACTCTGTGTATGAAGGAGAGTACGTTTAAAATTTCACGCCCATAACAGCTCAGTGTCCTTGTCCCATCAATGTTACCACCTGAACTCTTGTAACAAAACAGTTGTGAGGCTTTATTGTGTGTGTTGAAGTAGACCCAGTTGTTGACTGCCGAGTCTGTGCATGTAGTCACAAAATGCTCAGCTGGGCAGTCAAAGTGGCTTTGAATAATTAGTGCCCACAGCCAGATTCTCATTTTAATTTTTAAACTAATTATGTCTTAAATGTAAGCATAAAGCTAAATAATGATGGCTATAAGATGTCAGTGGTGTATATACTGTAATGAGGGTGGGCAGTCCTGATGTTTGACAGTGGCTCAGTTTTCTTGTTTCTGTCAGAATGGCCTGCTATGCCTCGCAAGTACTTGTTACTTCTCTTAATGTGAACAAAGGGCATAAGAAATGTAAGAGTGCAGGCCATTCAAGGATTTTTCATTTACGTATTCATGGCCTATCTTAGAGCTTTGGGGAGGTGGGAATCCAATTGGCGAGTGGATTTAATAATAATACCTAACAAAGCACTATATATGAATAGTAATTAATCTTCGTGGGGCACTAAGCATGGAGGTGTTACTCCTGTTTTTGGGGCGGGGGGAGTAAGGTGTTGGAGTGAATTGACTTGCCCGTGGCCACACAGCAAGTCCTACAGATAGCAGGAATACAGTTTGGGTCACCTGAGTCATAGCCTCTTGCCCTAGCTATCATGCCATGATGACTTAGCAGTCATAAAAGTGAAAGGGTCAGCCTGAATGTATTGAACTAAATTCACTGTCCCAGAAACAAATAATTTTTTAGTATTAAGGTTAAAATTAAGAACATTCTATGAGATTTGCATAGTACCTGTCATGATGGTATCTAAGTGAAAAATACAGTTCACGTTTCTCAAACAGCTTAGTTCTTAAAAAATTCTAAATGTAGAAGAAAATTTCACAGGAAATATTTTGCACCTTCTTTATACCATTACTGTAAGTATGTAGGTGGTCTTCTGTCTTTCCCCTTTGTCCTCTTTTCACTATTAATTGACTGCTACATCTGTTTTGTGTTAAGCCTGTTATTGCACACCCTCACTTATTTTTCCTCCCTTTCCTTCTTCTTTTATGTGTGAATTCCCATCATTCCCACATTTTCCATCTTTTCTTCTGAAGTATTTTGGTTCACTGGTGACACTAAAACTTAGTCACACTCCCCTTTCACTTGAATCAGCAGCCTTTCAGTTTCCCTGCCTGTTCCCTTTAATCCACAGGAGTTCTTAATAGTTTTCTGTGCTTATCACTGAACCGTGTAAAACCTGGATCACAAAGATTTTATACGTGCCCCCAAATCCTTGTTGGTGGCCTCTCTGGTAGGTGGCATTAAGGATTCTGGTGTGCTACTGGGACTGAAGACCCAGGTTTTCTGCATCTCAGTAGGAAGAACCATTGCTCCAGAGAAATAGAGAGGAACAGCTAGGGGACCTGTGGCTTGCTGTGATGAGTGGGAGGCAAGGAAATGAAACCAGGGGCCTCAAAGAGTAGTAGGGACATCTCTGAAAGAGCCTGGTGCACTCATGGTCTGCAGCCCTTCACCATTACAGCTGTACAAAAACTGTTGCTGCTTTTTTCCTTAGTGGGATTAACATCCGATGGAGTGAGCTGTAGCTCACAAAGCTTATGCTCAAATAAATTGGTTAGTCTCTAAGGTGCCACAAGTCCTCCTTTTCTTTTTGCGAATACAGACTAACACGGCTGCTACTCTGAAACATATTATAGTACATTATTGGTAATCCTTTCAAACATGCAAAAAGTATTTGTCATGCATCAAAGGTTTATATTCTAAAACACTGCAGGTATCATGTCCTCCAGAGTAAATTTTGTTGGGCAGTATTAAATCATTTGCATCCCATGTCTCCTTTACATTTAATTACCCATATGGGCACAAATACTGAAATGTGAATATTGGAGAGAAGGACTATCCAGGCACTTGACTTTTAGAGAGACTCTGTATTTCATTATTTGTGTGAGAAAACCTTTAAGCTGGGGGTTGTTGTCATTGGATATTACTGCTCACTGGGAAAATTGGCATAATTGACTTTAATTTTGGCCATCTTTTTGTTTTTAAGACAGAGTAGGGTTAGTGGTAGCTAGTACTTCTGTTTTCTGTCTTTCTCCATAGCTTTTCTGCAGGAGCTAGTCGAACGCGATAACTGCAAGTTTGAAGAGTGGTGTAACGAAATGGCAGATATGCGTAAACAAAGCGTGGTCAGAGGCAAAATCAAACATGAAGAGGTGAAGGAGCTCTACCAAAGGTTGCCTGCTGAAGCTGGTCTGTAAGATATTCTGGTAGTATTTTGTAGTAGACCATTGTTAAGATTAGTACTCTTTGTAAATAAATCACTAAATTAATCCTATTTCCCTTTTATGTATAACTTCATATAGTGGGTGTTACTCCCCTTTTCCTCATAGCCTTTTGTGTTCTGGTGTTTGTGGTACCTATTGTAAGACTTTGGGCGGTAGAGAAGGACACTGACATCCACTCATTCTCTATCCACTCAGACTTCCTGCTGCTATTGATTTTAAAGTAACTAAACAAGATTTGGAAGGTTTAAGTTTGCAAACATTAGTTTAAATTTGCAAGTGTTTAATTTTCTGTATGAGCCTTTCCCCAAAAATTCATTCCTTTTTTTTCTTCTTCAGATATGCTGTTGGTTTCCAGATCATTAGTGCCACATTAATATATGCTAGCACATGAGTTCATGATCAGAGCATATCATTAGAAGCTTTTAGATGGGGGAAAAACCAATAGCCTTAGGAGAGAAGGCGAACTGTGTGTTGACCAACACTTAAGACTGCAGTAGAGGCTGCATGATCAGTGTTGCTTTTTCCCTTAACGCTTTCTGCCACAACCTAAGCATCGGGGTAGCCGTGTTCGTCTGTATCCACAAAAACAGCAAGGAGTCCGGTGGCACCTTAAAGACTAACAGATTTATTTGGGCATAAGCTTTCGTGGGTAAAAAAACAGTTCTTCAGGTGCCTGCATCTGTAATTTTCACTCCAGGCATTATATACTGACACATGAAGAGAAGCGAGTTACCTGACAAGTGGAGAACCAGTGTTGACAGGGCCAGTTTGATCAGGGTGGATGTGGTCCACTCCCAAAAACTGAGGAGGAGGTCTCAATTCCAAGAGAAGCAAAGCTGCTTTTGTAGTGAGCCAGCACTCCCAGTCCCTATTAAAGCCCAAATCAATGGTATTAAATTTGCAAATGAATTTTAGTTCTGCAGTTAATCTTTGAAGTTTTTGTTGTTGTTCAAGAATGGCTACTTTTAAATCTGTTGTAGAATGTCCAGGAAGACTGAAGTGTTCTCCGACTGGCTTTTGTATGTTACCGTTCCTGATATCCGATTTGTGTCCATTTATTCTTTTACTTAGGGACTGTCTGGTTTGGCCAATGTACATGGCAGAGGGGCATTGCTGGCACATGATGGCGTATATCACATTAGTAGACGTGCAGGTGAATGAGCCCCTGATGGTGTGACTTATGTGGTTGGGTCCTCTGATGGTGTCGCTAGAGTAGATATGGGGACAGAGTAGGCAACAAGGTTTGCTACAGGGATTGCTTCCTGGGTTAGTGTTTCTGTGGTGTGGTGTGTAGTTGCTGGTGAGTATTTGCTTCGGGTTGGGGGGCTGTCTGTAAGCGAGCACTGGCCTGCCTCCCAAGGTCTGTGAGAGTGTGGGATTGTTTTCCAGGATAGGTTGTAGGTCATTGATGATCAGGTTTTAACTGGGGGCTATATGTTAGGGCCAGTGCTGTTCTGTTATTTTTCTGTTCTGTTATTGACCTGTCCTGTAGTAGGTGATTTCTGGGTACCTGTCTTGCTCTGTCAGTCTGTTTCCTCACTTCCCTATGGTGATATTGTAGTTGTAAGAGTGCTTGATAAAGATCTTGTAGGTGTTTGTCTCTGTCTGAGGGATTGGAGCAAATTCGGATGTATCTTAGCGCTTGTTTGTAGACAATGGATCGTGTGATGTGTCCAGAATGGAAGCTGGAGGCATGTAGGTAAGTATAGCAGTCAGTAGGTTTCGGGCATAGGGTGGTGTTTAATATACAAAAGCCAGTAGGAGAACACTTCAGTCTTCCTGGACTTCTATAACAGATTTAAAATTAGCTATACTTGAACAAAAAATCTTCAGAAACAGACTTCAAAGAGAAACTGCAGAACTAAAATTCATTTGCAAATTTAACACCGTAAATTTGGGCTTGAATAGGGACTGGGAGTGGCTGGCTAATTACAAAAGCAACTTTGCCACTCCTGGAATTGACACCTCCTCAATTATTGGGAGTGGACCACATCCACCCTGATCGAATTGGCCCTGTCAACACTGGTTCTCCATTTGTCAGGTAACTCCTTTCTCCATGTGTCAGTATATAATGCCTGCATCTGTAATTTTCACTCCATGCATCTGAAGAACTGGTTTTTTTACCCACGAAAATGGGTAAAATGCCCAAATCAATCTGTTAGTCTTTAAGGTGCCACCGGACTCCTTGTTGTTTTTTCTTTCTTGTTTTTCCTGTTCCTCATTATAACTGCCACTGGTGCCACTCCCCCGTCTTCCTCTTTCTTGATTTACTCCCTCACCATCAGTGATGCCCTTGTCAGTCACCCTCCTGTACTTTTCCCTTGTACCACCATACATCCATTTTCTGCTGCCCTGTGAACAGCTCAGCTCCCTGTTGATTGGTAGCACTGAGAAGGAAGTAATTTAGGTAATCCTGCATATCCAGGTCACTTGCATGCTTTGGTGCTGTTGATCCAAGTGAATCAGCAGGTAATAGGTCACACATTCACTCAACCTTTTGCCAGAAAGGCATTAATTTAATTCTTACAGACACTTAGAAACTCCATGTAGGCAAGCTTTTATCTAAAAAAATTCCATGTTGGGGTGGCCAAAATGCGGGGTTTTGGTTTGCAAGAAAATTTTTGTATTTTGGAATGGAAGCAGATTTTACTGAAATTTCTTACAAACTGAAAGCACCCTCAACATTTCATTTAATAAAAACACTGAAATAGGGTGTTCCAGAATAGAAATATGGGAAATTTACATTCTTGTGAGTTTACCCCAGGGGCGGCCAACCTGTGGCTCCAGAGCCACATGCAGCTCTTCAGAAGTTTTAAGATGCGGCTCCTTGTCTAGGCACCGGCACCGGCTCCGAGGCTGGAGCTACAGGCACCAACTTTCCAATATGCCGGGGGGGTGCTCGCTGCTCAACCCCTGGCTCCGCAACAGGCCCTGCCCCCACTCCACCCCTTCCCACCCCCTCCCTTGAGCCTGCCATGCCCTAGCTCCTCCCCCTTACCCCCTCCCCCTCCTTCTGCAGGCCACAAAACAGCTGATTGGGGGGTGTGGGGAGGGAAGGGGAGGCACTGATCGGCGGGGCTGCCGGTGGGAGTGGGGGGAGCTGATGGGGGGCTGCTGACATATTACTGTGGCTCTTTGTCAATGTACATCCGTAAATTCTGGCTCCTCTTCAGGCTCAGGTTGGCCATCCCTGGTTTACCCATTGCCACCACTGCATAGTCAACGTGAAACTGACAAGAATATCAGTTTCAGCCTGGGCTCCAAAGGCTGCTGCCACAGAGAAGGAAAGTTAGCAACCCCAAGAGTCCTAGCCCCAGATGGGGCTCCCAGTGCTACTGCTTCAGAATGGGGAGCCTAGCAGCCCTGAGAGCCATTGTAATGGATTCAGCAAAATATTTCACTTCTGTTAATTGGCATTTTCTGGTGAAACTAAGTTGCATCAGAAAATTTCTAACCAGCTCTCTCCCAGGAGTCACTCTGTCCAGAGCTTTGTGTGTCCCATGAATAAGTTGTCACTGACTGATTCTTCACTCCTTTCCACTTTTTACTAACTGCCTTTTACACATTTTTTAAATACTAGAAGTTTGATTTATTCCTTTCTCTCCTCAGTTTTCCATGGGGTGAGGGTACAGACAAGTGCTGTGGTTACTTTATATAGACAGTATTTATCCAAAACACACGCCTCCTAGAAACTTTTTCAGTAGTTTTCAATTAAGATTGTAACTCCTTTTTGTAAAAAGAGCAAGTAGAGTGTTGTGATATTTCAGTTTAGTACATAAAATACTTTGGCCAAATTTTTCAGACTTGGATGCCCAAAATTTAGCACTTGATTCCAAATTAAGGCACCGAAATATAAGGCCTGACGTTTCTTTCCGCGGTATTGAGCACCAGCAACTTTAGGTCAGTGGGAGCTGCATCTAGAGCTCGGCACCTCTAAATATCCAGTCGCTTCTGTTCAGATTCTTAATTTTCAAACTTGGATACTTAAAGTTATGTCATTTATGCTTAAAACTAATGAAAACCTGTGGTGTGAAAGCAGGCATTCACACCAGATTCCCCACTGTTGGGTCCATGTTCTGAATGTATTTTTGAAGTGCCATTGATAAATCAAGGATATGGGGCATGATCTTCACAGATATGGGTCACTTTTGGAGAACAAGAATTACAAGTAACTTTCTGTCACTTTGGCTTTCTAAACATAATTAGAATCGTTTGTTATTGATATATGGACATTTATATAAGGAGTAAATGTCACTGTGACAGGTTTCCAGACAGTGTACTCTCATGCTGCTTACCTTTTGGAAGTCAAGGTGGTGGTCTGAGTTTCTCCTTCAGTTGCATGAATTGGGATTTTTTTTGTCCCAAGTTGTTACATTAAAAATGGTTTAACTAAATCCTCCAGAGATTGTGGCCACGTTTTATGTAAAGTAAATACAATATAGCAATAGTGAAGCTTACACTTTTTCAGATAAACCATATTTATGTAGTATCATTGCCTGAGATGTAGAAGCTGCTGATATGTGCTGAAGAACAGTTTGAGGTCTAAGATTATGGGGAAACAGAATCCAGCTTCTCATAGTCACTTTATAAATACATCTAGCAGGGAAATTTCAGAAGTGTAGTTGATGCATCAGCTAGGTGGATTTAATTTCCTGATCTCTCCCTCCCTCTCTCTCTTCACCCCTCCCACCCGTTAATTTTCCAATATTCTTTTAGAAATGCCAGTGATTATCTTTTCAATATTGACTGGATTTGGTGTGCAGAAGTAAATCTGCTTTGTTCCCACAATCAACACATGTTGCTCGGTATATAATTAAATCTATCTTGGAACCCAAAGATGATTGTCACTAATGGAAAATAAGAAAAAGCATTATTTGAGTTCAGCTTTTTGCTGCTGTTGCATTTCATAGCAATTTGTTAATTACATTTCCAGTTGCTTTTTTTGTAAAATTCTGAAATAATATAGCCAAGTTGTTTTGGGTTGCATGTGTCATCAGTGTGACTTTGTATCAAGATATTTGACTCAAGTATTTTATATAAAGTCATTCATTCCTTCTAGTGTCTGTGCTGGTATGTCTCAGGTCCCCCAGAAATTGCACCTATGTATTTTGTAAATGTGTAGAAAAGCATTTCTTGTTTAACAAACAAAACAGAAATTGCTACAATCTTAAATTGTTAGTTTTGTGAAATTTTGAGTCAGCTTCTCCTTCAGTATAAGTTTTTTTTTAATTTGGGGTCTGCGTGCTTTTTCTGAATGCTAATTTTTGACGAATAGCCTAGACTTTAAAAAAAAAATTTTTTTTTGCTTGATATTTTCATAGTTTCCTCCTTACAGCCAAATCTTGCATCATTACTGAGATATCCTGTTGCTCTTGAGTCTATTTTGATGGTTCGTTGTCTACTTGGACAGCATGGATCAGGCATTCAAATATCAAAAATATTTTTCCACGCAAAATGCAGAAATTGAGCATTATTGTAAATCTGATAGATGAAGCAAATTTGGTGAAGTAGTTCCCATTTGTTGTTTAATTTGTATTACTGTAGCACCTAGGAGCCCTAGTTATGGTCCAGGCCCCCATTGTGCTGGGTGTTGAACAGACACAGAACACAAAGATAGTCCATTGTCTCAAGACTTTACAATCTAATGTAAAGAAATAGCACTCTGCCTGCCTGATGCTGTAAAAAGCAACCTGTAAATCCAGGTTAACTTGATTGATACTGTTGATATCTTACAATATTTAACAAAAACTTGTTCTGGGGAACATGTATCATCAGAAGTTTGATGTCAGAGCTGTTCAGAAGAGTGACCGGTTCGGTGCTTCAACAGTAACATGGACATAGAAGGCTCTGTTTTGGAAGCAATGCTACATCAACTATCTGCATTTGAAAAATTGGCAGCATATCACATGCAAGCTTCCATTCGTCTATTATATAGGCAGTAGACAAACTTATTCACTGTAGTTCTAGTTAGGGTTAATTGCTAGCATTTATCATCTAGATTCCCCTCTTTTTTTTTTAATGTACTTTAAGCACATAGGGGTTTGTGTGATTTTCAAGACAGAGATCTAGTTCTTTATAAAATTGTATCCTGTCCTCTTATGACTATCCTAGTTAATGTATCTAGCAGTGTGTAGCTGTGTCAGTCCCAGGATATTAAGAGAGACAAGGTGGATGACACTCTGAGTGCCTTTCCCAGGCCTGAAGAAGAGCTCTCTCTGACCTTGAAAACTTCTCTCTCACTAACAGAAGTTGGTCCAATAAAATAGATGACCTCACCCGCCTTGTCACTAATAGTTAATATATATCAGACACACTAACCCTTATTACACTCCTACATTATTACTTTAAACTTCTAATTTACATACGTACCTCATCATTAAGGAAAACAGACTTCTGAATGGAGCGTTTAACTACATTGCATTCTCTACTAATTTAACAGTAGGAAGGTTTGGTTACACATTTTTCCTATAATGTTCTGAAATAAAATAAGCTACTGTAGCCAAAAGGTGTTGCAGTTTGAAAACGTTCTCTGGCTGCACAAGCCAGTTTCCTATTTAAATTTAAAATGATTCTCGTCTCAGATGTAATTTCACATAGCTGCTGACTTCTAGAAGGGACACCATGATATAAAACTGCATAATTAAGATCAGAATTGGCATGGAAACAGAATTACATGTCTGAAAATATTGTGTAATGGGAATCTAACTTTTGGGGGGGAAAGATTCCCCCACAAACTTTTTAATTTTAAAAAAGTACTGTTGAACAGTAGAGTAATTTTAAAATGTCATCTCCTATATCATGTACTTGTGGAAATGTATAGGTTTGTTTATGTTTACTTTTTTCCAGGGTGCCCTTATGAGTTTGTCTCTCTCGAATGGTTACAGAAATGGCTGGATGAATCTGCCCCTCCCAAACCCATAGATAACACTGCATGCTTGTGTTCACATGGCAAATTACACCCTGATAAAATATCAATTATGAAGAGAATATCTGAGTATGTTGCTGACTACTTCTACAGGAGATATGGAGGGGGGCCAAGGCTAAATGGTAAGATTAAACCATAGTATCTGGATATAAAACACACTCACATGGCAAGCTTTTTTTTATTATTTAAATTTTTGTATATTGAAATCTGTTTTGCATCCTTTGTCAATCTAATGTAGCTTTATCTTTGGTCAAAATAGCTGTCCTGCTTGTATTTTTCTGGTTGGCTGCTTTTGGGAGAACTACTTCGTTATGGTCAAACAGATAATTAGGCTGACTAGGGAACATGAGTGGTGGATATATTTCAGATCTTGATTCTGCTTTGTGCCTTGAAGTTTTGTGCAGTCGCTTAAACAAATACAATAAAAGGAAATGGTATATTTAGGTAGAAACAACTTGAAACTTTAATATTTTAATTAAACTTTTAAAAATAAACTTTCTGTAAAATAGCAAAACTTGTATAAAGACCCTAAAATTGGGGAGTGGTGGAGCTCCTGGGCCCGTTATTTCTACAGATGCAGTATAAACAGTGCCTCGTGTATTGTATCGTTTTCTGCTGATGAGCCAGTATTTTGGAACCCTGTTCTCAGAGCAATAAAGAAGTGAGGGTGTGCTAGCCAAGGAGAGAAACTGTCTTCCTTCACCTGTAGATTTCCCCCAAGCAGCCCACTGCCTAGGAAGTATATTCATAGTGTGTATATGTTCCATGTTTGCATACTGTGACAGGTTTTTTTATGAATGGCAAAACTGCTATTGCAAATTTCTGAACTGTCCTTTTCAAATGCACGGCTTACCTAGGTCTACACATACTGCTGTTCTCAAGCTTGTTGCAGTAAATATAAACTGTTAATATCAGAAATGCAGACTTATGAAACTGAGGTGATGAGAAATGTGGATGCTAAAGGAACAAATCCACCCTCATCAAAAGCTTACTACAATTATATCTAAATTTGGTCCAGTTCAGCTGTTACCATGTATTTCCATCTAAATCATATGTAGTAGAAAATGTCACTGTCAGTAACTACATTAAGCCCAGTTGACTGACAGCACCTTCAAATGGTGATGCCCGCATTTGCAGAAATCTTAGGTTTGTTTTGAAGTGTAGCAGTAGTGTTCTTGTAACATGGTGTTGTCTTTTTTTGTTTCTCTAGTTAAAGCACTTTGCAAGGATTGTGTGGTAGAGAGGTGTCGAATACTACGACTGAAAAACCAATTAAATGAAGATTATAAAACTGTCACAAACTTGCTGAAAATTACAGTAAAGGGGTATGTGGTGCTGACACCTTCCAATGTTTGCATTGCACAAGTGTATTGTCAGTGATATTTAAATATTCTAAAATGAGATTTTAACAATTGTTTGCAGTGTTGTAGCTTGTGTTGGTCCCAGGATATAAGAGAAACAAGGTGGGTGAGGGAATATCTTTTATTGGACCAACTCCTGTTGGTGAAAGAGATGAGCTTTTGAGCTTACAGATAAGCTTCAGGACATGAAGAGTTCTTTCATCAACAGGAATTGTTCCGACAAAGATTGTAACGGTTCTCATTCTGAGCCCAAAACTGTAAATCTGTTACAGTTTGTATTGTAAATGCTAGTCTTTTTTTTCTATACAGTAATGATGGATTTTGGGTTGGAAAGTCATCCTTGCGGAGTTGGCGTCAGTTGGCTCTGGAACAGTTAAATGAACAAGATGAAGATGCAGACCAGAGTAATGGAAAAATGAATGGAGATGCACAAAACAAAGGTAGCTGTTTAAAACCAAGCAACCCTATTTCTCCCACTACCTGATAAATAGATCAGATGTTCCTATAGTATTGATTAAGCATTCTAGCAGTTCTGTTTTAGTTGTAGGGATTGTTTTGAGCAGGTCTGAATGATATATACAGTAGAACCTCAGGGTTATGCATTGACCAGTCAACCACACATCCCATTTGGAACTGGAAGTACACAATCAAGCAGCAGTAGAGTCGTCCCCCACCCCCCCCCCCACCCCCAGAAAAGCAAATACAGTACTGTTCAACATAAACTACTGAAATAATAAAGGGATAGGAACATTTTTCTTCTGCATATTAAAGATCAAAGCTGTATTAAGTCAGTATTCAGTTGTAAACTTTTGAAAGAACAGCCATAACATTTTGTTCAGAGTTACGAACAGTCTCCATTTCCGAGGTGTTCATAACTCTGCGATGCTACTATAGTACAAAGGAGCATATATTAGATCCATATTTGAGCAATTTCAAATACATTTTTTTTTTCCGAAAGTTTTCAGCAGGTCAGACTCTGCCCTCACAACATCTACGTAATCCCACTGGGGGTGTAAATAGTGTTTTTAAAAAGTAACTATTTAAACTATTAAAATTGTGTCGGTTAAACATTTAACTGTTAGCAAGTTCACAACATAGGTGCAGGAACTAAGAGTGCGGGGGAGTGCTGCAGCACCCCCACATTTTACACGGGGTCCGAGCTGCTGCCCAGTGCCCAGACCCAGACGGGAAAGGGGCCAAGGCTGGGGCAGGCACAGGGCCGGCAGGAAGGACCCTGGGCGTGGGCCCGGCACATTAGGCATGTAAACCCCATTTTAAACGGATTAGGCATTTATTGGTTAACATTTTACATCCCTAATTCCCTGTTAAAACTGAAGGTAGAATCTGGTCCTGCAGTTGGAACATAGGCCATGGGTGCTACAACAGCACAGCCGGGGCACTGTAGCCGGGGCAGCGTAAGGTAGATGGTTCCTACAGCAATAGAAGGTTTTTTTCTGTGGCTGTAGGAACTCCAGCTCCCTGAGCAATGATTGCTAAGTTGATGGAAGCATTCTTCCATCAGCCTAGTTGTATCCACACTGGAGCTTAGGTTGGCATAGCTATGGCACATAAGGGTGTGACACCCCCCCCGAGTGCTGTAGCTGTGATGACTTGACTTTCAAGTGTAAAACAGGCTTCAGTTGTCAACTGTATTTCGGTGCAATCCATTTTATTTTCTCCTGCAGAGCTAATGGGAGTGACTAGTAAAAACTGTCCTTTGACAAAGTAAGCACATGTTACTTTTTATTACTTCAGGTATTGCCCACAGTGTTGTAGGCACTTTCCAAAACAGAAATAGGCACAATCCTATCTCCAAGTTACTCACATTGAAGCCTTCCAAGCAGAGTGGTTCTTGGCCTCATTTGAATGACGCTATCGTGGTGCCGCACTGGGGACATCTGGTTTGGATCAGATTCCTCAAAGCAGAGAGCTGACTAATATTTTGCCTGTAAGATTTCTGTTCCCTCCACTGTGATCTGGTGGTAACTTTTCTGTTAATTCTGATCTGAGCTATTTGGGAGTAGCAAAGAGCCCAGGTGTTCTAGCTATAATGAATGCTACCTTTGTAGTCTCGTGTCGAAGATAGTCTTAAGAGTGCTCCATGAACTTCAGAGCACTCAAAATATATTGTAATGTATAATCCTGCCCTGGTACTGGAGAAATGGGCCAATAAACTTAAAGATATATTGTTGTTGAAGTTTCCCTAGTGTTAGAATTTTGCAGCAATTTGAAAAGGAAGCAAATTGTTACAGTTCCTCCAAAGAATCAAACTCTACTACAGAGAGTATCTGTGCAATCTACTTTTTCTTTTGGTCAGATGAGTCAAATGAAGAAAAGAGGGAGGAGGAAGAGGAGTTAAATTTTAATGAAGACCTTGTTTGCCCACATGGTAAGTGCGAATGTAGGGGACAGAACTGAACATGTCGTATTTGGATGACCCACCATTTACAGACTGATCTTCCATATTTCTTCTGCAAAAACCAAGATAAGCTGGGCTTAATTATGTTTATTTCTGACTTACTTTGTTTTTCTTAAATGTTTATCATTTGCTCCTGAGCTGTGATCGCATCAGATCTCACGAGCTAGTGTGATGTTGGGATAGATTTGATGGGAGACCTACAAAGAAAACCTAGATCAGTGATACTCAATTAGATCTACCCGCAGGCTGATATGAAAATTTTATGACAAGAAGTGGGCCATTTGCACAGAAGACTAACAAAATAAAATAAAAAAAACAAACTCCAGCTGCCAAGAAAGATCTTAATTGTAACAAGTATTAATGTTTTTATCTTTTAACAAAGTTTATAAATCAACATTGTTACCTGTGTTTGTGGCAATGAAGGTGACATCAATGATCTCTGGCAAGCTTTGTGAGAAGTGGTTTGTAGGTGATAAGGGCAAGGCACATGCACTGGTGAAGATGCTGACCTGTAAGGTGATTGTGGTGGTGGGTTTTTTTATGCTGTTAATGGTAAAAAAACCCATATTTGCAGAGGCATGTTGAGCCAAACATTGTTAAAAGATAGATGGCTAGATTCTGGCTATTCTGAAACTGGTCAGTATATTGAGTCCACAAATCACAAAGTCCCACTTCTCTGAATTTTTCCTTGGAGGACATCTGAGCTCTGGAGTCTTATAGTTTCTAACTGAAATGCACCTTCATCACCTGAATCAAGAGTGTTCTTTGCTTCAGCAGAGACAACAATTGGATCAGGAACAAATAAAAGCAAATCCTTTGGCATTTTAAAACTCTCAATCGAATTTTAAAATTTTCAATGAGATTTTTTTTTTTAGGAATTCTTGCATTGTTTTCATCGGTAGCAACAACATGCAATGTGGGAAAATGCAACGTCTTTCCTGTTAAGTCTGAAAGATTTCAAGATTCTTCTGAAAGGCACAGTTTTTCAAAAGGATTCGCAAGGCTGCTTGCATGGCCTTGGAGCTACAAGTTGAGGGAATTCAAGTGACCAATAATATTGCACAGAAAAGCTACCTGTGACGGAGAGGGAACATCATCCCTAAATTCCATGAACTCATAAGCTTTTTTGATCTTGTGGTTTGAAAGAAATTCTATTTTTGAATCGCACAAAACCTCTCTAATCCGCACCCTCTACTTAATGACGTTCTCTGGTTGTGCTGCAACAGGTCACTGTATTTGTCTGAAATGTCTTGTAAAAAGACATTTAAAAAGACAATGTTGCAAACAGGAAATTAAATGTATGCAGTTCACCAATCTCATCTCAATACCCATTGTTTGTTCGTTTTTTTCAAATCCCCAGATAACTTACTACACAGCACAGTCTGGTGAATGAAGCAGTGAAGTGTATTTAATGAGGGGTGTATCATTGCCAAACTACAGAGCAAAGACCTTCTATTTCCCTGTCATGGAGGGACCTCCATCTGTAACAAGCAAGTTTACTTTCTGCAGATCTAAATCTTTTTTTCCCCCAAAAAAAGCTTTTTACTTTTTCAAAAATGATCTGTCCTGTAGTGTAGATTTCTAATGGTGAAATTTTCAAGCAAGAATTTTTGTGCTTAATACCGTCATAAAATCTGACAGATTTGTCCACTTCAAGAGACTTTTAAATTGGAAATCAGTGCTGACAAACAATTCTCATAAATTACCTCCAATCTTCGCACTGCTGTGGAATCAGGCAGGGGAACTTGCTTCACAAGGTCATCCTTATTTCTATCTCTGTCAAAAAACTACTCCACCATTTCCGGCGTGCATTCTTTCACAAGCTCGGCATCCAGGAAAGGCTTTTTCTTTTTAGCTAGTACCAACATTATCCCAAAAAAATCAGCTGTTGCTTTTCCTGTATAGTTGTTGATGTTGTGAGAATATTTGAAGTGTGATACAAAAACTTCATATTTTCAATTTTGTCACATCTTGCAACACTGCCAGGAGGACAGGCCACGTTGAAGTTACTGTGCTTTGATTCAAAGTGGTGCTTGAAGCTGATGACCGTACAGATGGAAACAGTGGTTTGGCGTATTAAACGCAAAGGATTTTCATTTAAATGAGGTGACATAAGAAGAAAATCTGCTGTCCAGTTTGGGTTAAAAGCTCAGTTTTCACTGTCTAGTTTTGATGGTTACTCCCCCTCGCATTCATTTTTGGCTCCATTTCCATCACTGATGGAAAAAAATGGGTGGCATCCTAGCTAAATCGTAGCTGTTGCAATCGCGAGAACTTACGATCCAGCTTAGTTTGGCCCCGGCACCTCCGGGCTGCAGGCCAGCAGCCACCACTCCCCGGCTGCTCAGCTCTGAAGGTGGCGCTTGTGCTGGCGGCTGTGCTGTCTTCAGAGCTGGGCACCCAGCCGGAAGCTACCACTCTCTGGTCGCCCAGTCAGTGCTTCATTTGTAGAGGGGCTTGCTGGCACTGAGTCCCGACACCTCTTTCATTACAAATGAAGCACTGCCAGTAAGTTACTTACTAAGGAAGTCATAGGCAAATGATAGGCATCACATAGCTTTTTATTAATTTAATTATAAACATTTTTTTAAGGTGTGCTGGTGGGCCACAGAGGAAGCTTTGGTGGGCCACATTTGGTTTGATTGAGAATCACTGACCTAGATGTTGCAGAAAGTTATTAGTAATTCATTTGGTGTTGCTCTTCCCTCTGATCTTTTGGTGCTGAACTATTGCCTCAATATGAAGTAGAGGGATTCTGTTCTGCAGGAGGGTGCTGTTCGTTGGATAAGACAAAAGTGCATGGTCTGGGGCCACTTAAATTCTGTGAAATCTGTGAACGTACTTTGAGGTTTTGGATGAAATATACTCTGCAATCAGTCATAATTAAGGCTATGTTTTAGTCACAGGTATTTTTAGTAAAAGTAATGGACAGGTCACGGGCAGTAAACAAAAATTCACATGTCCATGACTTGTCCTATATACCCCTGACTAAACATTTTGGGTGGGGGGAAACGTGTCGCGGGTGCTAGGTGGGGGCAGCAGCCCGGAGGCATTCGGGGGGGCTCCAGGAAGGGGGAGGGTTTGGCGGGGCTGGCAGGCTCCCTGTCCGGCTCTGTGCCTCCCCAGAAGTAGCAAATCCCTCAGCTCCTTGGTGGAGATGCGGCCTGGCAGCTCTGCGCGCTGCCTCCACTCCAGTTCCTGGCCAATGGGCTCTGTGGAGGCGGTGCCTGCAGGCAGAGGCAGCGCACAGAGCTCCCTGGCCGTGTCTCCGCCTCGAAGCTGAGGGATGTCGCCTCTTCCAGGGAGCCTGCCAACCTCCCTCACTCCCGAGGTGAGCACCTCCCAGAGCCCTCACCCTCTTCTTCTCCCCAGACCATAGCCCCTCCCATGTCCAAACTCCTGCTGCTGCTGGGGAGGGAGGTGCGGCGTCTCTAGGCTGCCCCAGCAGCAGCCGGTGTGGCTGGCCCAGAGGCTGCCTGAGCTGTTCAGGTGGCCCCCAGGCCAGCTGCACCGGCCGCTGCAGAGGTCCCGGAAAGTCATGGAATCAGTGATCTCCATGACAAACTTGCACCCTTAGTCATGATTATTTGTGGCATGGTATCCATTCCCTTTCCTTTTGTACATTAAGAAAATAAAAACTCGTTAAAGTGAGACACTGTAATTGGGTACTGACAACTGTGGAAGTGCAGGATAAAAAATACTTTCTCTCAGTAAGTATTTCGGTGTCCTTGACATAAGGATTGTAATCAAACTGTGCTGGGTATTTTGAGACCTGTTCTCTGTGTTATAAGCCTAACATGAGATGCTGTATAACATTAAGTGATGGCTAGTTAGTTGCATCCTCTACTATCCAAGTTTTCAAGTCTCCTTTTTTGTGCAGAATATTGGCACTTTTAATAGACTATAATTGCTCCATTTTGGAAGCATTACCCTAATGTAATCGTAGCAGTTAGGCCTTCAGGTCTGTTTGGGACAATGAATGCATTATTGTCAGTTAATATGAATTAACAATGCAAGCTCCACCACTAAAACTAATAAGAGATGCATGCTTTTTGATTAATAAAGCTGTATTCTCAAATAGAAAGGTTAAAATGTCTTTTTTAACCCTTTTTCATTGTTGTGCATTGTAATTGACAGTCCCACAAGGCTAATATAAAACTGCAGAGCAGAATGATGAAACACCATAAAAATAAGTATTTTGAAAATATTTCCCTAGAAAAATTGATCTGTGACTTTGGTCCACATAAAAAATAAATGACATTAAATATTGGGGCCATCAAAAGTTCAGGTTTCATTATCCTGAGCTAACTTCAGACTGTTCTTGTAAAATGCTCTCTTCACCTTATGCGTTCAAAATTTTCCATTGAATTAAGTGTATCAACTAATCTGTTTTCTCTGTAATAGATCCTTAATGTTGCAGAGAAGGAAACTACTTCCTTCATGGTGCTTTCTGCAAAGCCCAGTGCTTGATGTGTTAGGTCTGGCATGCATCCAAAAGTATCACACAGGTTTTTCCCTTATGAATTCCCACTACCATCTTCTTACATGCATATGTCAGGAACCTTTTTCATCTCTAATTCCAGAGGATTGTCATAATTTCTCTCTCCGATAGTTTCCTGACCCTGTCGAATAATTTTTGTCTGATTACCAGGTTAGGCTGAGGGAGGTTGGCAGAGATGATGAGAGGGGGACAATGGTTACTCCTGAGGCCATTCAGTGCCAAAAAAATTAATAATTCTGTGCACAATATTTTAAAATTCTGCAAGTTTTATTTGTCAAATAAATGCAGAGGCTCCAGCATAGCAGTGGGGAGCACAGTCCACTGGCTGTACGAAGATGGGAGATCACCATGCAGCCTCCCCACCTCTGGGACATGGACTCAGGGTCGGGTGCAGCCTCACCACTAACACAGCACAAGGCCTGGGCCTGCCCCAGATACACCCTGGGGTCCTGCCCCTCTGCGCCAGGCGCACCGGGTCTGGGGCAGGAAGGCTCAACCAGGCAGGATCCAAGTGTGGAAGGGCTCAGTGCGGGGGATCCAGGTGTGGGGTGAGAGGATTGTGTGGGACAATCTGGGTGTACAGACAGCTCAGTGGGGGGGAGGGGGTCTAGGTATGGGGGGATCCGGATGGGGGGTTCCAGGTGCAATGGGACTCTGCAGGGGCTTCCAGGTGAAAGTGGTTGGGGCTCAGTGGAGGGGTCTGGGGGAGTGGGGCTTGGTGGGGGGGGATCTGGATGCAGCTAGTTGGGGGTCAGTGGCATGGGGGTCTGGATGTGGAAGCTCAGGGTGGTGGGTTTGAGTGTAGGGAGCTCAGTGGGGGTGGTATGGGTGTGGGGGGCTGCAGATGCAGGGGTTGAGGTTCAGTGGGTGGGGTTCAGGTATGAACGGGAGTTCTGGGTGTACCGGTTGAGGCTTGGTAGGAGTGTCTGGACATGGGAGGTCCAGGTGCATGGGGGTTGAGCGGATGGGAGAGCAGCTCCCTGTACGGTGCCTCCTGCCCCCTACAGTGAGGAGCGATGGGGGCAGGAAGCAAGGGAGGATGCTGAGTTTCCTGCAGCTGAGGGAGGTTTCTGGGGGTGGGTCTGAAACAGCCCCAGCCAGTCCTTGCAGGGGAGGAGGAATTCCCATCCTCTCCTGCTTCCAGCCCAGCTGGAACTAGCAGCTGATCCCAGCTCAGGGTAAGAGCCACTGGCTGGGATGTCCCCAAACCTGCAGTGATTTATCTCTCAGCCGGCTGCTCCAGGTGCCTGAAACTCTGTATATTCACAGTTGGGGAGTGGTGCATGACTACTGTTACAGCTTCCCTTTGCTTCCCTGCCAGAAAGTCATTTTTCTGCAGGGAAGCAAAGAAATATTCAGGGGACATGAATTCTGTGCTTTCGCAGTGGTGCACAATTTTTCCAGGAGTAAATGGTCAAGGTCTTTGCCTTCCAGATGGTACAGCGTTTATACATTCTGATCAGATTTTCCACCTCTCACTATAGCTTCTTGATCTATTTTAATAAATCTTATGATGTCAGAGCAATTACTTGCACAATCTTATTTTCATGTCCCTGATGGGTGGTGAAACACTGGAATGCGTTACCTAGGGAGGTGGTAGAATCTCCTTCCTTAGAGGTTTTTAAGGTCAGGCTTGACAAAGCCCTGGCTGGGATGATTTAACTGGGAATTGGTCCTGCTTCGAGCAGGGGGTTGGACTAGATGACCTTCTGGGGTCCCTTCCAACCCTTATATTCTATGATTCTATGGTTTCTGGAAATCATCCCAGTCCTGCTTTCTCCATATGGTGAACCTAGGTTAATAATTGGTCAAATTTAGCAACTGTTTCATTAGCAAAATTTTAAAATTTTAAAACAATCCAGTCTGATCTTCATTTATTGTAATAAATCCAGGAATGGAGTGTTGCTATTTTTTCTTTGGGAAATTGGCAGGAGTTCAGACTTTGTCAGAATGAGAGAAGATGACAGGTCAGTGGCACTGAAGTCTTGTTCTAATACTAAATACATAGAGCCAATGAGTTTCCCTGGTGTTTTTTTCTCTATCTTGTGGCTAACTTAAACCCATTTCACGCTGGGGTAGACTATAGAAAGAAAGAAAAAACTTTTAAAATAGTTCTTAGCTAGACTTTACTCCGTCAAGTATAGCAACTTCTCAAGTTTTTTTTTCTTCCCACTGTTGGTTAATACCCACTTTAAAAGTTGAGCATCATTCTTTCCCATGTCAGTGTTTGGTTGTTTGCTGTTTACCATTCACTACTTTACCCTCTGTACTGAAATTAATATTATTCTCGTTTGGTTGTGTATCAGCATTATTCTTACCACACCTTGTAGCTTTTGACGCAGCAGCAGTTAAATAGCGAGGGCTCAGTTGTGTTGTACCTCTCCCCTTTACAACTATAAGTAAAGCAAAAATTATGGCTTGGTCAGTCTGTCAGCAATGAAGTAGCATAGTTTCTCATATATGAAATACTATGTTTTCCCACCATGTTGAGTCAAACACATAAATTTGATGCCTGTATTGCAGCGCATTGACCTTTTTGGCATAGTTGTTACCAGGATAACTCATAAATGCTTTCTATTAATTCGTTATCTTACTGATTGTCAGTTTTTTTGTTAGTTACCTGAAAAATAGTTCAAGATAAACGATAATATGTAAGTAATTGGCATAATTTTTAAATAATATTTGGTACACCTCACTTCATATTTTTTCTCACACACAATTAATTCCACCCAACTGGATGTAATAAGGCACTCTCTCGATCAAAAGATTTTGTGCAGTTCACTTTTTTTCAAGATGGGCATTATGGAAAATGGAATCTGCCATGTTTAATTATGGATCCTGACTGTGTTTGAGTGTCCTGTGGAGCTTCACATTCTAATTGATTGCTACAGAAATGTGGCATTTTAAATGCCATAACGCTTTCAGAAGGGTGGTGGGAGGATGTATGGGGAGAACATCTTGGACAGAATTTTCAGTGCCTGAAATTAGGCACGTAAAGCCATATTTAGGCAAATAAATCATTGTAGCCTTATTTTTCCAGAGGTGTAGCACATACACCTTCATTTTCAAGTCAATACAAATTGTGGGGTGCTCAGCAGCTTTGAAAATCAAACCACTTTTTTAGGTTCTAGGTGCCTAATTTGAGGCACCCATGAGTGGGGAAAAGATTAGCCCTTGTGTGTTTGTATCCTCTGTCCTGGTTCTGTTCTTGCCCTTAATTTCTCTTCCTATTCCATGGATTTCTGTCTTTCCTTTCCTTTTGTTGCATTTGAATCTGTGGCTCAGGCCAGTGGTGCTGGAACATTTTTAATAGTGGAGGAGCTGAAATCCAGCCCCCTTACCCTGTCCACGCTCCCCCTCCCAGAGCTGGGACCAGGAGCAGGGCCATGTCTCCAGGAGGCGGCGACCCAGATGGGGGTAAGGAGGCCTAGGCTGGTGTAAGGGAGCTGGGAGGACCGCGTAAAATCTGGGGGTGCTGCAGCACCCATAGTTCCTGTGCCTATTGCTCAGGCACATGGTTTTATAAATCCAAAGGGCAATCATGGTAGATTAAGATCTTTCTGTTTTTAAATAGGAATGCTGTATTTAAGAATGTATTGGGTTAGCTTTTAAAATAATTAGCTATAATTCTTAAAACATACTGTTGCTGTGAGTAAGCACTAAAATCCTACCTCCAGGAGGAAACTTAATCATTGATGGGGTAGAAATAGAGGCTGAAGGTGACTCTTCTGTATAAATTCTTTTTTTATTCTAGTGCTGACACAGGTGTCAGATTATAAGGGTGTAAAATCTACTTCTGTATTCATACAAGTAATCTCTTAAATCTGTTTTAGTGCTGTGAAACTTTTGCTGAGTATGTGCCGAACAAAAATGATCTCTTGCATTTCTCCATGCAGGTGACCTATGCATATCAGAAAATGAAAGGAGGGTTGTTTCTAAAGAAGCCTGGAAAAAGCTCAAGCAATATTTTCCAAAGGCTCCAGAATTTCCAAATAGCAAAGAGTGTTGTTCCCAGTGCAAGGTATCTGAATATCTGATGACTTTGTAAGACTTTTGACAGTTTATGTATGGTGGTAGCTTTAGCTTTCATGTTGGCGTTCCCCTTGCTTAAAATGTATGGGAGGAAAAAAATCTGCTTTTACCTTTTTAATAGCACCTTTGAAAACAAACACAAGCGGCAAAAAGGATTCTCTGTTTTCACACAGATTCTGGAAAGAGAAGGAGAGGAAAACGAAGCCCTGCATAAGATGATGGCAAGTGAGCAGAAGACTGCTCTCCAGAACCTGTTCCAAGACAAATGCAGACCGTGTCTTGGGAGCTGGCCTCAGGTACAAAGACTAGGAAAAGTTGATAGCCTTTTCCCAGATCTGGGAAAAGGCTATTAGTGTACTCTTGCACTTGACAATAGAATGTAAAATTCTGATCTATTAGAGGGAAATTTGTGTGTGTAATCCTTGAGCAAAATAGACCATGCAAACATGGTGTAAAGCTTATTGAAAAAATGTTCCTTACAAATCCTTTAAGTGCTGACTTGGGTACTCTCTTTGAATCATAGAATCGTAGAATATCAGGGTTGGAAAGGACCTCAGGAGGTCATCTAGTCCAACCCCCTGCTCAAATCAGGACCACGCCCCAACTAAATCATCCCAGTCAGGGCTTTGTCAAGCCAGACCTTAAAAAGTTCAAAGGAAGGAGATTCCACCACCTCCCTAGGTAACGCATTCCAGTGCTTCACCACTCTCCCAGTGAAAAAGTTTTTCCTAATATCCAACTTTTAAACCTCCCCCACTGTAACTTGAGACCATTGCTCCTTGTTCTGTCATCTGCTACCACAGAGAACAGTCTAGATCCATCCTCTTTGGAACCCCCTTTCAGGTAGTTGAAAGCAGCTATCAAATCCCCCCTCATTCTTCTCTTCCGCAGACTAAACAATCCCAGTTTCCTCAGCCTCTCCTCATAAGTCATGTGTTCCAGTCCCTTAATCATTTTTGTTGCCCTCCGCTGGACGCTTTCCAATTTTTCCACATCCTTCTTGTAGTGTGGGGCCCAAAACTGGACACAGGACTGCAGATGAGGCCTCACCAATGTTGAATAGAGGGAAACGATCATGTCCCTCGATCTGCTGGCAATGCCCGTACTCATACAGCCCAAAATGCCATTGGCCTTCTTGGCAACAAGGGTACACTGTTGACACATAGCCAGCTTCTCGTCCACTGTAACCCCTAGGTCCTTTTCTGCAGAACTGCTGCCTAGCCATTTGATCCCTAGTCTGTAGCGGTGCATGGGATTCTTCTATCCTAAGTGCACTTGTCCTTGTTGAACCTCATCAGATTTCTTTTGGCCCAATCCTCTACTTTGTTTAGGTCCCTCTGTATCCAGCGTATCTACCACTCCTCCCAGTTTAGTGTCATCTGCAAACTTGCTGAGGATAAAGAACTCCAGGGTGCTCTTTTGACTGGCATTTGTAGAAGTGTGTATCTTTCATGAGAATGTCCTTTAAAATGAAAAAGAATAGCAAATATTAGTTGAAGTAAACTTCCTCAGGTACCGTCTGTCTCTCCTAGATATTGACCGTGCCCTCTTTCTGCAGTGTCTTGAGTACCTCACAAACTTGAATGTATTTATTCTCCCAACCCCTGTGCGAGGCTGAGCAAGGCCATTATCCCCATTGTATAGATAGGAAACTGAGTCTCCCTGTGCCTGCAAGATGTGCTCAGGGGTGTCTGGGGTAGAGCAGGGAACTGAACCTGGATCTCCTGAGTCCTAAATTGACACCCTAGCCATTGGAGCTGCACTTACTGCATGGAGGCTGATACTTGATCAAAGAGAAATTTAGTGTTTTTCCCCTTCCATCCAAATGTCACTCAAACATCAGTGAACCTCTCTTTCAGCCTAATCTTGAATCCCAGCTAGTTTCTTAGTGTCCTTCCTCTCTTCCCCACCCCCCTTCCCCCGCATCTCCAGGCCTCCTGCCTGGGTCTTGTTCCCCTACCTTTTGCTTCCACATCCACTACTTCTTGACCCTGTCTGCTTTCTCCAGATGATCTTGTCAACCATCCAGATCATCTGTCACAGTAACCTAGCTGCTACTCCTGCTCCTCTTCCCCCTCCTGTCATCGTCCCTCTTTCCTCCCGCATCCTATGTGGCTCTAGCTTTCAAAAGGGGAAATGTTTGTGTATGTCTGGATGGGGAAAGGTATTTGGGGCCATGTGCGAGAGCAGGCTAGAACAGCTCAGCTCAGGGGGAAGAAGTGAGAGCAGAAATGGCAGCCCACAATCCAATAAGTTTTTTGCCCTTTTTGTTCTTTCTTTCAAAAGAGGAGCTGTTTCCACTGTTCTTGTTTTGCAAGGCAAATCTTAAATTTACCAAAGAAAGGAATTTCCTTTTTATCAACCAATTGCTGATACAATTAGTGCCTCAGTGGTTTGCTCTTTGGTGTTAGGGTGATACTTTATCAGCTAATTTGTTTGTTGGAATATATTTTAAATTTATTTTTCTGTCGTTAGGGGTACACCCCTGTCTGAGGGCAGTATTTGGTCCTTGCTCTCTTCAATACGTTGTAGAAGAAAGTAACTTGACAGTAGTTGTGTTATCTACACCTGCTGCTCCCATGGTACTGAGCCAGCAGTAAGAGCAGCACCTTCAAGCAGTTTCACATGGAAGTGGTACTAATTAATCTTCTGCACCACAGGACTGGGTTTAGGGCACTAGCTGTTGCTGCAGTGCTGGAGAGTTCCATTCTGAACCCTACTGGAGGGAAGGGTTTGTCTTGCTATACACTTCCAGCAGCAGGCAAAAACCCTAGAGAGGGGGTGGAGTGTCTTTAAACAGCAAACAAGTCACAGCTAGGGTAGGGGGTTGTGAATGCTTGGAGCCAGTCATGATAGGAGTAGCAAGGCTGTTCTTACTGCCACCTCACTGAGCGTGTGTGGGAGTATTGTAGCAGCAAGAGGAGTGTTTTATGCACATGGATATTTCTCTGTTTGAATGTAACTTTTGAACACCACATCAAATCAATTCCAAATTTCAGGGAATGTTCTAGCATCAGTGGGCAGAACCCTGTTGATTTTGGTGAAAACCAGAAAGGGGAAATGAGGGGGAGACAGCCCCGGCTTCTGATTAGCATATCCAGCAAGTTCAGTCATCTCTGTAATTTTCTGTAGATCAAAGAACCAGTTCATGGCTGACATTACAACATTGCTGCATAAGTCCATCCCAGCTCTGCCCCTCCTCCCAATAGAGTTCAACATGTTGATGCCCTGAATGACTTAAGAATGGTGGAGGAAATAGGGATGCACACAGAGCCCCTGGGATGGAGGGAGAATAGGGGGCTCTGGCATGAGGGGCCAGAGGAGTGGGGATGTACAGCCCCGAAGGAGAAAATGGAGGATAATGGCATGGGGGATACACAATGGCATGGGGCAGAGAGAATGGAGGATCCTGGTATGGGCAGAGGGGAGAGAGAAGGGACACAATGCCCTTGGCATGTGTGTTGGGGCGGGGGTTATAGGAAGTCCCTGAAATAACGGGGATGTGAGGCTGGCACACAGGGAACTCGGGGGTGTGGAATGGAAGAATGCCAGTAGCCCCTTTTGTGTGCAATGAGATCTGCCCATCGAAGCAGCAAAGTCTGCAACTCTGCAGTTAGTATAATATGCTCTGCTGGTTAATCACAGGCTGTGTGTGCCATAAGACTTGCTGGAGTTTAGTAGAAATGATTTATACAATGGATTGAAGATAATTGGTACAAAACTGAATTAGCTTTCTAATGTAATATAAGCAGTAACACAAGGGTTCACTGTGTACTATGTTCTTGGTACTTGATCTCAAATTATTGTAGTTGGCTTTCAGAAGTCACACTTGAATGGAGTTATTGTGAAGAATGTTAGGATCTTGAAAGGGAACAGGTATAACAAAAAGAACAGGAGGACTTGTGGCACCTTAGAGACTAACCAATTTATTTGAGCATAAGCTTTCGTGAGCTACAGCGCACTTCATCGGATGCTGTAGCTCACGAAAGCTTATGCTCAAATAAATTGGTTAGTCTCTAAGGTGCCACAAGTCCTCCTGTTCTTTTTGTGGATACAGACTAACACGGCTGCTATTCTGAAACAACCTGTCAGGTGTAACAAAGACAGTGAAAACTTAGGTTTTTTCTATCTCCATTGTTAGGTTAATTTAAATGAAGTCTGTTTTTCCAGGAGACAGATGAGCTCTACATTGTATCACAGTTTTTTGTAGAAGAATGGAGGAAATTTGTAAGGTAAATTGGTTCATATTTTAAATCTTCACTGAACTCCCTTTATTCCTTTTAGTTTTATATGTAGTGATTTGACTTCTGAATGAAGTTTGTATAGTGCAGTGTAGAATTATGCTAAAATTAAAATATCTTGCTGTGTAGTGACTGGCCTTGTGGAAATAAGGAAGCACTGGGATTGTTAAGCCAGTATTGGTTATTACAGGTTCTGAGAAACAGCTGGTCAGGTTAGATACCATATTGATTAGTTTCTCATGACTAAAGTTATATCCTGGTCAAAGGACATAACTCCGTCCTGCTTCTGTAGTCTGTCATTAATAGGAGATGAAAATCCTCCCTGCAATGCTAGATATAAGTAACATCCCAAGATCAAAAACCCCCAATATCTGATTCCCTGAGCCTAGCAATCTAATACTTCTGAATTTTGGCTACTTTTCTGTAAAATCACAAATTTAAATACTCTACTTATCTCTCTTCTCATTGCTATTTGCTGACTTTTGATTTCTTGTTAAGGAAATAGCATAACCCTGTGATGTCTAACTAGAGCTCAGTGAAAAATTCCCCCAAATTATGCTAGTTTTTAATCAGTTTTTCTCACCAAAATGAAAAACCAAAATTAAAATTGTTTGGATCAAACAAAAGAACATTTTGAATGTTGATTCAAATCAGCCTTTTCAAAACAATGTCGATTCAAAACATTCAGATGTTTTTAAAAAAAAAAAACGCAGGTTGTTTTCAGCTGAAATAATTTGCCAGATTTGACCCACATTCATGAGTAGTTTCCATGCCCATATATGTATATTTTTTTGGTAAATTTACTTATCTGCCAAAAAAAATTCACTCAGCTCTGTCTAACCATCCTAAGTACACATTTGTTTTCTCTTCTCCTGTTTTGAGCAGGAGGCCTACAAGATGCAGTCCTGTATCATCAGTAGGAAACAGTGCTCTTCTCTGCCCACATGGGGGCCTCATGTTCACATTTGCTTCCATGACCAAAGAAGACTCTAAACTGTGAGTTTCTTCTGTTCTCTTGTCTTCCTTTTGTCAGGTATTTCTCTCCCCGTCTCCAGGAATATGTAAATCAAATGACCCGTGAGGACAGTACTGTTGATCTCTGTAACTGTAACATTTTCCTGGGAGATGTCTCTGTTTTTGAATGACCTTGATGTGAAAACCCGTTTACACCTTTAGATGGATCTTCATGCAGAAAGTACCATACATGTTCAGTGATAAGTGTTCTGCAGAAGCAGGCTAGCTTTGGAGAAAGAAATATGATCAGTAAAGTAGAATTTATTATTAGGAATTGAATGAGCTCAAGTGAAACTGACTAACACGGCTGCTACTCTGAAACCTGACTATTATTTGACATTGGAAACTCACTTCCTTACCTTTACGATCAGAATGGACACAGGTCTTCTCAAAGTTGATTTCCACAAGACTTGTCTTCAAAGTATCAGATACCATCAATGGATTTCATGCTTTGTGGAATTGCTTCTTCAATGGCACAGAGTAAATGTAACACATCTTCCACTTTCGTACTTTTTCTTCCATTTCAGTCCTTCCTCCCTGCATAGTTTTGCTTTAGGAGTTAGAGAGACTGTTCTTAACATTTAAAAGGTTCTGAAACCTAGAGCCCAGTGCACTTGTAAGGCTTGTGCACAGTGTTTCCTTTAATGATGACTAAGCTACACAGCTGTAATTGAATACTTCTGGTTTGGTTTTTCTATGTCATGAAGCATGTTGTGTTTCTTTGCACAGTATAGCTCTAATATGGCCCAGTGAGTGGGAGGCAATACAAAAACTATTTGTTGTGGATCACATTATCAAAATCATCAGAATGCAAACTGCTGAGATGAGCCCGGAGAGCACGCTTTTCGATTCTGAGCCCAGTAAGTGAGTCTTATCTTCACCAGTGTCTGCAGAATAGCTTTTTCGACTGATACTGGCTCCCTTGTGGGGTTTGGAGAGGGACCTGCCATTTTAGCATAAATGGTCAGAACTTAAGGGAGGAGTGGAAAAGATAGATGCCAGTTTCTCAGTAACAGCTATAGAGTAAATCCAGAGTTCGGAGAATGTACCCCCATTGTGTAAGCCATTCTTGATTTAATCATGAAGGTGGCGAATATTTGTAGTGGTCCCTTGTGTAATGTCACTGTCACCAAAATATCTGTTGGCATTTTAACCATGCTTTCCTTTTTATCCTTCTAGAGCTGTGTCCAGAATGCAGAGAAGGATTGTTATGCCAGCAGCAGAGGGACCTGCGTGAGTACACCCAGGCCACCATCTATGTACATAAAGTGGTGGATAATAAAAAGGTACTGATCTCTCACTACTAATCTTCACTGAATTTTGTTAAAGGTAAACTGTACTGAGTGGTAGCCAAGATAGCTATAAAAATAGTTATCAAATAATATATACTGGCAAAGAGAATGCCCGTGCTGCATGAGAAATTACTCAGCATTGTTTCTGTGCCTCTATTCTACAAATGGGCCTCTCAGTGACTGCTGCTATGTTGAGGATACCTCTTCAGCAGAGAGAATGAGGAGTACTTGTGGCACCTTAGAGACTAACAAATTTATTTGACCATAAGCTTTCGTGGGCTAAAACCCACTTCATCGGATGCATGCAGTGGAAAATACAGTAGGAAGGTGGGTGGGTGTGTACACGTACACACATACATACACGTACACACACACGTACACAGAGAGAGAGAGAGAACATGAAAGAATGGGTGTTGCCATATCCACTATAACGAGAGGGATCAGTTAAGGTGAGCTATTACCGGCAGGAGGGAAAAAAACCTTTTGCCGTGATAATCAGGATGGGCCATTTCCAGCAGTTGACAAGAAGGTGTGAGGACCAGTAGGGGGAAAAAAAATAAGCATGGGGAACTAGTTCTACTTTGTGTAATGACTCGCTACTGGTGAGTTAAGATGCTTTTTAAAAATCAGACACAAGGTTAGGTTGTAAATTTACTTTACCAAAAATCTAAACAGCATTTTACAGGGTAAATAATGGCCCTAGAACTTGCTTTACAAGTATCTGATGGTTCTTACAGTAAGCCTCCAGTCTTCTTTTAGTTGTATTTTAATGCTCTGTAGTTCTGGGTGAGAAACCAAGACTCCTCATAGGAAAACTCCTCAGATAAGCTGACAAGAACCAGCTGATAGTATAGAGGCGCTTTCGTGTGGGATGGTCACAGGATTTTGTTGTACTAGGAGTTTTTCAGAGGGCACAGTGGATAGGAGGGACAGATTTTCCTGGTGCCCATCAGCCCATGAGTTGGGGTAAATGTAGCCCTGCGTCGTCATGCTGTTCAGAGTGGGAGTGTGGTGGTTTGAGGATTCAAGGGGAGTGATAGTGCTGGGAAAGGCAAACAGTTGCCTACCGACATGTCCCTGAAACATATTTAACTTTTCAGCTGTCAGGAGATTTGTGAACTCAGGCTTTTGTGAAGTGGCTGCACAGTGTATTATGTTCAGTTTGTGACATTTTATTCTATTTTTATAAGAGTTACTGGCTAGTTTGTCTCTACTAAAGCATGTTAGGCCTAAGTAGAGTAACCTTTCTCTCAAGGTGTGTCTTTCAAGCGTCTTCTCTGGTGCTAGCAGCGTGGAGAGGCCTCTCCCCTCTCCTCACCTGGGTTTGGGTCCTGAGTTCCTTTTTGGGATGCTTGGTGACTTCTCACTGTGCCTGAGACCAAGAGGTGCTGTCTCTTGGGAAAATGAATAATTCTACCCCTGCTTGCAAGGAGTATAAAACCCAGTACACAAGATACAATAAAGTATATAAACAAAAACCCCAGCAAAGGAATGACAAACCCCAAAATAACAAAGAGGATTTTGCTGAGAATAGGAAAATTAGATCTGGGGAAGGAAAGAGTTAGGATTAATTAAAAAATGCTGACCAGAACCAACCATTTCCTGCCTCCCAACACACTCAACTCTTCCTAACCCCCAGCTCCTTCCATGGCACCTGCCCAGGTAGAATCTATGCTGGGAATTAATCCAGAGATAAATGCTGCAGTGCTGTGAGCTTTGGCCAACTTAGGAGGGTGCCCTTTTATTGTATCGTCGTATTGTGGGGCAGGGTCCTCTGCTGGCTCCCTGATCTGGAGTCCTATGGAGGTCTCAGTTGGCTCAGTCAGTGGTGTCAGGTCGTATCTCTGCCACTTTGGACACTGGTCTCTGTAGGGCTGGAGCTGCCTGACCTATGCACTGAATCCCACAGCAGATCAAAGGCTCTGTTTTGTGGAGGGGGGTTAATCAGAGACTCCCTAAGCAGCCCCAGTACATTGCCTGTCCAGATCACCCCATGCAGAAGCCTCCCTTTTGACCTCAGTAGGAGTTTCTAGTGCATTCTGTCTCCATGCCTGCAGTCAGGCATGCTGGGAAATGATGTCATAGGGCTCTGGTAGCCATTATTGTTAAATGTAGTCCATAGGGTAGGACCCTCTAGAGCAGTGTTTCTCAGCCTTTTTGATACCAGAGACTGGCTTGCTGCCTTCCTAAACTGTGTCAGGGAGATCTCGGGGACTGCCCGTATGCGGACCAGTCATTAAGAAACACTGAGAGGCTCAGTCCACTGTTCCAGGAGCCGTGTGGGGGTTACACTAGTAGCTGTAAGTGTACGAGCTAGCCCGTGTGGGCGAAGAAGGTGAAATAGCTGTTGTTCATTTTATCCCCTCTGCTGTCAGTTTCAGAGGAAAATAAATGGAACAGTAAGAATTGTTTTCTTTTGGGTCAGGGCCAGATTCTGGGAGGGACTCTGCCTTCTGAAGGGTGCTGAGCACCCTCGGTGCCCAGTGAAGTCAATAATACTTGACAGGTTTCAGGGTGGTAGCCGTGTTAGTCTGTATCAGCAAAAAGAACGAGGAGTACATGTGGCACCTTAGAGACTAACCAATTTATTAGGGCATAAGCTTTCGTGGGCTAAAACCCACTTCATCGGATGCATGCCCTAATAATCGAGCTTTACATGATGAGTATAAGAGTTAACAGAAGCAGCTGGCTTGCGAGTTGCTGAAAGTCATAGTTCTCACGCACAGAAATTTGCTCTGTCTCTGCAGAGATGAGCAGATTTTGAGTACTAGAGTAGAATCTGCATGTAGGTAGAACTGGTGGGACCTACAAATTATTTCAAATTATTATTGCAAATTATTTCTAGATGAAATTTTTAATCAACTGGCCCTCTACTCAGGAAAGTTTTTTTTAAATGCTCTTGTATATCATCACATGTATCAAACCGTCCTACACTGAGAAAAATCAGTAGTCCCAAAATGTTGTTACTGGCCATTAACATGTGGTGTCGTGACCAGATGTTAATGAGCAAGAACCTTAGAAAAGGGTCAGAAAAGGGCAACTAAAATGAGTAGGGGTTTGGAACGGGTCCCATATGAGGCGAGATTAAAGAGGCTAGGACTTTTCAGCTTGGAAAAGAGGAGACTAAGGGGAGATATGATAGAGGTCTATAAAATCATGAGTGGTGTGGAGAAAGTGAATAAGGAAAAGTTATTTACTTGTTCCCATAATATAAGAACTAGGGGTCACCAAATTAAATTAATGGGTAGCAGGTTTAAAACAAATAAAAGGAAGTTCTTCTTCACTCAGCACACAGTCAACCTGTGGAACTCCTTGCCTGAGGAGGTTGTGAAAGCTAGGACTATAAGAGGGTTTAAAAGAGAACTTGATAAATTCATGGAGGTTAAGTCCATTAATGGCTATTAGCCAGGATGGGTAAGGAATGGTGTCCCTAGCCTCTGTTTGTCAGAGGGTGGAGATGGATGGCAGGAGAGAGATCACTAGAGCATTACTGTTAAGTTCACTCCCTCTGGGGCACCTGGCATTGGCCACTGTCGGTAGATTTATAGATATAAGGTCAGAAGGGACCATTATGATCACCTAGTCTGACCTCCTGCACAATGCAGGCCACAGAATCTCACCCACCCACTCAGGATACTGTGCTGGATGGACCTTTGGTCTGACCCAGTATGGCCATTCTTATGTTCTTATGTGTTCCTGGGAATGACTGCTCACTAAACAGTGCGTATTTTAACTGATAACTTTCTGCAACACATTTATTTGGCTTCATAAATCAATTAAGCTTTATTTGTCACTGCACTTGCCTTCAGTTCATGGCAGATATAGCTACTTAGCAGTAACTAGTAGAGATTTAGTAAAAGATATACATTCACCCTAAACTTAGGGTGAAAGATGGGCAATTTGTCTCTTCACCTGGCAGCCACTGTTGTATATTCTGTAAACGTGAGAACTTTGATAAACTGCTAATAACTTTGAGAATGCTGCAAATCATGCTCAGTGTTTAGAAGATGTGCTGGTTTCTTCAATCGCAAAATACATGTATGGACAAGCATACACCTAGATAGGTTAGCATGCTCTGAGGCATTCAGGTGGGAGTATGTGTAACTTCCATATTTTCCCTTGAAAATTCCAGTCTCCGACGCTATCTGAGGAGCCTAGCACAAGTGTAAATACGTACATTAGTGTAGGGTAGGTTCATTTATCATGAAGTAACATAGGGATAGATATGTATAAATTATTTATCTGTAGCTTACTTACAAATTAACTGCAGACAGACCAATAAATCACTAATGAGCACTTCTGTCCATCTGCTAAATACAACCACACGACTGACCTGTATGTGTCATTTATGGAGAATATTAGTTTCTCTTCGTTACAGCTCTCTCAACACACTGAGTTCAGGTCAGAGAGAGAGCTGGCTGAAGGGGAAAGAATCCAGCCCCAAAGACTTTCCCTTTGTCTAGAAAGGGAAAGAGTTCCTGAGCTACAGGAAGCAGTAGATCCCTGCAATGGTTTCTCCCATTTTAGCCAGCATCCAGAATCTGTTAAAAGATCATTTACAAGCTATATGTGTGTTAAACTAGAGCCTTGTCTCTTGGTATCTCCTAGGTTCATGCACTCCAAGTATCTGCCTGGGTTAGGGCAGTTGGCGTTTTATCCACTGTGGTCACTTGTCCTTGTGCCCTATTTAAGCTCATTATATTAAGGTAGCACCTTTAAAAACGCTCTGTAAGGAACTTGCTAAAAGCGCTGGGACAATCTGAGTTTGTGCTGTTGGAACAGAGTTACACAGTGTGTGATTTGTGTAACTTCAGGTAATGAAGGAAGCTGCTCCAGAACTGAATGTGAGCAGTTCAGAAGCTGAAGAGGAAAGGGAAGAAGCCAAACCAGAAGGGGAACAGGATCCAGATTTTAACCAGGTAAAGATCTAAAACGCTGCAAGGTTTGCAATTTTGAGTTTCCCTCTAGATAGCAAAGTGTCCAACTCTGACAATACAGGAATCTTCTTATATTTACTGTTAGCAGTTGAAACCAGAAATATATAAGCTTCTTTATTTTAAGCTTATTGTTGTAATACCTTCTTAAAATTAAAATCATGGCAATTAAGTCTATTAATGGCTATTAGCCAGGATGGGTAAGGAATGGTGTCCCTAGTCTCTGTTTGTCAGAGGGTGGAGGTGGATGGCAGGAGAGAGATCACTAGATCATTACCTGTTAGGTTCACTCCCTCTGGGGCGCCTGGCATTGGCCACTGTCAGTAGACAGGATACTGAGCTGGATGGACCTTTGGTCTGATCCAGTGTGGCCATTCTTATGTTCTTAAAATTTCTTTACCCTTTTGTTCCATTTGACAAATCAATTGTTCTTTGCTCCTATGTGTCTAATATGGTTGTGGAGCTAATATTGTTTTGATTAGTTTCCTTGTTAGTACATCTTACGGGGTATTGTGAAAATGTATTAAATGTAAAGCACATTTTAAAGTTCTGATAGAAGGTGTTCTCCAAGTTCAAGGTTTTATTAAATTACTGAACATGTAGTTTTTGTGAACCCCACAAAAATGGTGGATATTAAGTCATCTTTAAAAGTAGTATAGCCATGTTGGTCCCAGTATATGAGGCACTAGGTAAGTGAAGAAGAGTTCTGTGTAATTTGAAAGTTTGTACCTTTCACCAGCCGAAGTTGATCCAATAAATTATATTACCTTACTTAACTTACCTTCTTTAAAAGAAACTTGGAACCTAGAGGACTTTCATAGGTTTGGCACCTATGAAAATTTGGGCTTAGAATTCTTAAACATTCCTAGTCCTAGTACATCTGTCCTAACACTGATGCATGCTCTTCCTGGTACCCATAGAAATACTGAGATATTTCCTTCAAGTGGTGGTAATGCATACTGTTGTCTTACCCCCTGATTTTGGCAGTGTCTTCCTCCTTGTACTTTTTTTAGAGAGAAGTGGTTACTACAATATTAAATATTTAACACATGTTGAAGAGTGGTTCTGTACTCCATGCTGTCCTCAAGTTAAACATGGAAATGTGGCTGTCTTTGAGCAAGTCCTTCAGTACTTGCAACCTCTCTGATGCCTGTGTGCATCAGTTGATTATCACAGATGTACTTTAATGTTTTGTGGCTTCGCTTGTTTAAATAGCTTATTTACAAGGCCACCTGGGCAAGAGGCAGGTTGAAGAATTTGCATTATCAGTGAATTCAGTAAGCAAACTTCTTATTTCTGACCCTTGTTCCTAGACTAATGGTGGTGCGAAACGACAGAAGATATCCCATCAGAACTACGTTGTTTATCAAAAGCAAGGCATCAGACGGAGTACACGGCACAGAAAAGTCAGAGGGGAAAAGGCTCTACTTGTTTCCGCCAACCAGACATTGAAAGAGCTGAAAATACAGGTGAGGAACTTCCTTTGTTCCTAAAAACAGTGTTCTCCTCTGCTGTCGTGTGTGAGCGCACAATGGTGACAAGGAAGTAAATCTAGATGTCTTGTATTCCTAGCTGTTGCCATTGTTTTAGATTTTCCTGTGTAAGAACTTATAAAATACTCCAAGATCTGTCATGGTAACTCGCAGCCAAATCTTGTTCCCCACTTCATGGCTAAGGAAGGCTCTAAGTACCACATTTCCGCACCAGATGGCGGCAGTGCCCAAGGGGGCTCTTGCAAAGCACTGCTCCGTGGTTCTCTGTGATGACACAGAAGGGGTGGGGCAGCAGCACCCACAATGATATGCTAATCCGTGGCTCTGTTTGTATGGTGTCCTAAGATGCATGGTTTTTGACAGTATTATTGGTGTGTGTGTGACTTACATATTTTGCTTTTGCACAAAATCAGTGTGTGTTGTTGTGTTGGCACAGATCATGCACGCATTTTCAGTTGCTCCGTTTGACCAGAATTTGTCGATCGATGGGAAGATACTAAATGATGATACTGCAACACTTGGCGCCCTTGGAGTCATTCCAGAGTCAGTCGTTTTATTAAAGGTAACAACGTGAGAATTGTGGTGGTCTGCTGAAAGGAATGCTGACTGGCAGCAGAAATGATACAAACTTAGAATTACACTAACACTATATTGAGATTACACCGTTAAGTATTTGAGTCAGAACTCTCCTCCTAGGATGCATGCATTGTCTTTAATTGTCTGAGATACGGTATCTGAGAAGTTAACGTTTTTTCTACAACTGAAGGTATACGTGTGTAGTGAATGTGAAAGGTTCTGTAGCGCATAAGCACAAGGCCAGCAGAATTAAGGTTGTGCACTCAACTTTCACACTTAGATTTTTGAGCACTGAACTGTATAATCGAAGTATAATTTTTCATACTTAATTTCCTGTCCTCCTTTTTGAGGGAAGAAAAATCTTAAACTCTATAAAGAGCTGTTGATGGTGATGGCTAACTAATGGCTTAACTAGTGTCATTAGTAACCTGTGCACTTGTAAATTTAACAGGTGCCAGTTGGGCAAGGACAGTAGGTGCTTCCATATCTATGCATGTACATGCCTTCGTAAGCATGCAGCACAACAAAATACAATGGCCCCAGTTGGCATATGCTTAGTTGACTTCAGTGGGACTAAAGCACAGGCTTAAACAGCCCTTCCTCAACAGAGATACATTACTGAACTGGAGATCCTAAAGCCTCAAAAGTGCTTCCAGGCCTCTTTTTATTGTCCCCCAAACCGCCCTGGGAAAACTTCTTTCTTTGGCAGCATATATTTTCTTCTCCAGTCTGTTTAAATGCACATCTGCCAGAGTCTCTTGCTTAGCTAATAGGACTGGTAAACTTCTAGTATTCATGTTGTTTTATAGTTCTGTTGGGTTTGTTTTACAGGCTGATGAACCAATTGCAGATTATGCAGCAATGGATGATGTTATGCAAGGTAAAGAGGATTTCATAATTACAATCTAGAAACATTCTTATTTGTGAAAACACATTATTACCACTGTACTCTTTCCTGGTTGGTTGCTTTGACAAAAATTATTTATGGTCATGTAGTACTGCATTTGGGACAGAACATGTGAAGCATAAGACAGGCTAATTTGTGGAGCTGAAGTCAGAAGGAGAAAGGTAGGAGAAATTAGCAGAAGATAGAAGCATTCAAGATTTCCCTGTAGCCAGCACCTGAAAGTTGTTGAAGCTTGCAATTTGCTATAATTCAAACACTTGATTCTTCTCTTAGAAGTCACGCTGTAATTAGAGGTTTCTGATGTGGTATCTTTCCTTTTCAGTTTGTATGCCTGAAGAAGGATTTAAAGGTAAGACACTTATTTCTTCATTTATTTGAACCTACCTTAATTTCATCTTGAATGCATGTAATCTTCTTTGTTGCTTTCTCACTTACAGGGACTGGTCTTCTTGGACACTAATGTTTGTTTTTTTTTATAACCGCTGGCAGCAGAGAAATGACCAGAAAGGAAGAGGATTTTGACATGGTAGGGCATTAAAACAAAGGTGGATATAGGACTAAACAGTTGCTTGACTCTTCTAGAAGGCAGAAACCCATTCTGAAATGACTGCCCCAAATGCCTTATGTCAAAGCAGATTGCACTGAAGGGACATCCTGACTTCAAGAGAGCATTTCAAATTTTATATTTAATAAAACAAAAGTAAAAGTATAGTAGCAGGAACAATACATCATGTTTACAGACAGAAGTTTCTAGCTGAGGAAGGGAGAGGCTCTGCTGTTTCCTTGCTCTGATTTCCTACCACAGTCGCCTGTCCATAAAGAAATAGTATTACAGTAGATCAAAAACATCTTGATCTGCCCTAAAGTAACTCTTTAGAGATCACCCTGCTAACAGACACCCTGTCTTTGATCCACTCTTACTCTCTCAGTGCAGCATGGAAGTAAAGAATGTGTTAATTGTGAAGAATGACTAGCTTTTTCAGACTTCAGATATGTACCCCAAAATGTAAACTGTGGCTTGCCTGTGAAAGCCTCCATCAGTGGCTCTTCAATACCGAGATGAGGGGGATAAGGAACTGCCTTCTTGGCTGTGTCTGGAGGCTCTAGCACACACCCGTCCTTTTGCAGTTTCAGTTTCAAACTTGAAGATGATCCTAACTTTAATAATCACATGGTCTTTCTCTGTGAAACGTGTTTTTAGAATTGTTGGCTATTTTAACAACTTTTGATAACATCTTCTCCAGTATGCTACTGCCAAGAGCCAGAAATCCATTTCCGCTCTACTGATCAATTCAGGAACATTGAATTAATCTTCACTAGAACATCAGAATCAGAGATACTGAAGGGGATGAGGTGTCATACTTGGGGCACGTTTTTCATGTGAAGAGATTTTCCTTTTGTTCTCATTGTTTTCAGGAATGCACTAATTTTTTTTTTTTTTTTAACCATCTGTAATTCCCAGAAAGGATCTCTTCCTGACCCTATTAAATATTAGCTGGAAATAGTTTACCACTAAAATATTTAAAAGGACACTGTCAAGGTATCCTTAATAATAAAGTTAAATATTTCCTGGTAGCTTCATGCTCAACTGTGCTCCCTTAGCAAAATAGCCTCTTGCTCAGTTTGGGCTTCGGCAGTGTTTTATTATTGTTTTTAAATTGGCTGTTTAGAGCAAAACTAGTGTATTTAACACTCCCATGAGCATTGCAGGCAGATTTAAGGGGTCAGTTGTGGAGCATGGAGGGTATATAAAAACATGGGCCCTTGATAGTGTTCTTTTTTAAATTTACCTTTTATCAGAATAGTTATAGCTCCCCTTCATAAAATGATTAACCTTTGTTCTTTTTCTCTATACTGTTTTAATCCATCTTTCCCCCCCTCCCTTCCTCCAAAACCATTTTGGGAAGGCGGTAGGGAATTCAGGCAGCAGGTCTGGACCAGTGAGAGTGGCAAAACAATTGATATAAAGTATTCTATTTGGAGCAGCTGTAAAGCCATAAATAATGGCTTGGAAATGATTCAGAAAAGGGGATTTAAAACTGAGATTATTTCTAATGTATCTTGGCTTTGTACTTCAAGATACGGGATTTGGATCCAATAAAAGGGCTGGATCTTAGAGAGGTGAAACAGTGCAGCTGAGCAATTTATTCTTTCCCAAGGTAAAGACTTCAGTAAAAGTTCAATATGCTATTGTTAGTGCTTGATTAAGCAACTCTACTTCCCTTGAAAACAGGCTTGTTTGCCTGAAAGAGATTTTATTCTTCTTTTTAGACTGAAGCACTCACTCATGTACATAGCCCCTGGAAATTTGATATTTTTTTCAATTTGCTGGTTTTGGGGGGGGAGGCGGGGGGTTGTTTTTTATTTTTGTTTTTTTGTTACTAGAGTCTCTTCCTTGAGATTACAATGTTCCAAAACTAAGTCTCTTAAACTTCACAGGGAAGAACTGTAAACCATGATGTATAAGTAGACACAATTACAGATGTGATGTATAGATGTACCTAATGGCCTTGGTATTGCTATATCTTACAGCTTTGCAAGGGAAACAGGTACAAGATGTGATCAAAGGCACATTAACTGTTTTGTCTGTATTTGCAAACATATTGGACTAAAATTGTCATTTGAGCTGTGGAAGCCTTATTAAAGTACATACACATGGTCTATCTTCTCATATTTTAATGTATTGCATAAAGCATTTTTTACATTGATCGGTTCAGGTATCTTCTGTAAAATTTGTCGTCTTTTTCTAGTATTTCTGAGAATTCCACAGTTTGAAACTTTTTTCCATGAGTTGAATGTGCCATAAAGTCGTTGGGTAGTTGACTGTTTGATGGCAGGAACAATAGATTACTAAAATAAAGCCAGGAGGAAAGTTGAGTAAAAAAACCAAATTTCACGTGGGTCTCAGAATATTTAAACTGTAGCAGAACAATAGTACAGATTCCTCTAGTAAGAAACACTATATGTGTAAACACTTAAGCGCAGTCCCAGTTGATTTTCTCATGGTTGTCTATTCACTGTTCCCAAATTAATATCAGAGACAGCAGCTTAAATTGAATAATCTTGTTCAGATACTTAGGCATATGGATCTCATCTACTGTTAGTTGTATTGCAGAGGCGTAGTTAAGGAGGCACAGTCTAAAACGGTTACAGAAACATTCCTGTAGTACTAAATACTTCATAGTTGTGAAAGAATCCACACTGAGTGAATCCAGAAGGCGAGTCAGCTCCAGCTTAGGTTTATGATTAAATATGGGCCTTCACATACACAAATCAAACTCCATATCCAGAAACTACTATACCAGAATGACTGGTTTTTCATGTAGTGACGTTTGAGAAACCATAAAAACATCAGTAAAACCAGTCTTTCCTCACTCTAGGTCTTGTGACTATCGCGTACCAAGTTAATGGCTCAAGAAGACTTCTTTGTGTAGTGTAAACTTTGGTAGCTTTTCTTCTGCAGAAGTGAAAATAACTGATAAAGCAATTGTCTTTCATGACAGAGGTGTTTCTGTATCAAAAGAAGATACACTTAATGCATGCCAGAACAAACCCCCCTTCAGCTGTAGTTTAGACAGCATTTCACCTTCTGCGGTGCTCTGTTGTGTACTAAGAAAAATGGCCATAGAGATGGAATGATCTGTTGTGTCTGTTGTGCTTCTTGTAACTATGTCTTGGGGTGTCTCCCCTCTGCGAGGCAGGTCAGTATTTCTCCTCCTCTTACCCTGTGAAGCACTGCAGTGGGGTATCCCTGTGTGCTGCTAGGACTCCAGTGGATTGCTACTCATTATGGGTGTGCAGAGTAAAGAAGCTGAGCCCTCATCAGAGGTGCAATATTAGCAGCGGTTCTGTGGCCTGCTGTTGAGTGGGATCTCCTGCGAGGCCCACAACATGCTTTGCTGCTATTTTAGTGTTAGGGGCTGATGGTTGAGAAGGCATTGAGAAGTTTGTGGAAAATGCACATAAAAGAGCTAGGGCTGTGTGCAAGCATGTGGGGTTACTTTTGTGTGTCAGCAAAATATTTTAAAACAACCTGCTGCCTACAGTACAAAATAATGGCAACAAAAACATCAACATGAAATGTCAGTGCTCCGCTTCAAATCCCATCCGTGGTATCCTGGTGCTACTGGTAATGGGGGCAGGAAAACTCCTCCTACCTCTGCTCAGTGTGACATGGCCCATTCTTACTGTGTGATCTCTGGGCTTCGGCTGCTGTACCAGTGCATTTGTGCCTGCATATGGGCTGATTCCAGTCCTGAGCTCTGACCTCCCACCAACTGCCTTTATAGATGCAGCTTTGGATTTCTCTCTCCATCCTCACAATCCCTTTGAGCTTGATCTGTCAACTTCCCAATTCTAATATATAAACAACAACAGATCTACCATTGATAATCCCATATAGTAAGCACATTTGTGCTTTCCATATGTCAGGTAGGAAAGAGTTCTATATCTGAGTGGGAAGTGGCAGAAGGAGGGTTTAAAATATTTTAATTTAATGAATGTGTGATGGCTTTTGAAGTGAATGTGGGATCAACTGCCCTGTTGCACTTCCCATCCCAGTCCTAAGTTACCACTTCTGAAAAGCCATTGCTGTTTACACTTCCCCTTTGTGGGTCATGCTTCCCCAACTTCCTTTTTTTCATTCAAATACTTACCAATCCCCTCCACCACTCCCTCACCTGAGCCTGGACTCCTGCTATAAATGGATTTGTGTATGTGCACGTTTAACTAGCCCCTTGCTTGGGCCCTGTGGAAAGGCTGCCAGGAACAGCTGAGCGGATACTTGGGCCGGGTCCCTCTTCCCCACCCTCGCAGAAGCACCCACATGATATAAAGCAGTGGGATGCTAATGAGACTTGCAAACTTAGATACCTCCATTCTCTCTCTCATCCCAGCTAGCTCCCTTTAGTTCGATCACTTTCTAAAGAAAGCTCTGAGACAGTCTGTACCCATATGTTCCCTTTTACAAGATTACGATAAATTTTGTACAATGTATGCTTTGTGAGGTATCATTTAAAAACTCATAATTCAAAGTTTTTAAACTAAGGGCTGGGGGAAAGCTGACAGGTGCAGAGGAGCACGTGGTTTGGACAGAGGCATCCCCTAGGGGAAGATCTATTAATGGAGATTCTCTATGTCCTAGTAAAGAGGAGATGATGGAAGGTGATAAATATGGGTAGGCTCTGATAAGAAACAGTCAAATGAAAGAGGCCCATTCAATTACATCAGGTAATGGCAGACAGCTGAAAAGTTTGTATGTGCTTATATACAAATGCTAGAAGTCTTAATAAGATGGGTGAACTAGAGTGCCTCATATTAAATGAGGATATTGATATAATAGGTATCACAGAAACTTGGTGGAATGAGGATAATCAATGGGACAAAAGGGATAGAGAATAAGATGGAGAATATCTTATTGCCCTTGTATAAATTCATGGTACGCCCACATCTTGAATGCTGCGTACAGGTGTGGTGGTCTCATCTCATAATACACTGGCATTAGAAAAGGTTCAGAGAAGGGTAACGAATGAGTAGGGGTTTGAAACGGGTCCCATATGCGGAGAGATTAAAGAGGCTAGGACTTTTCAGCTTGGAAAAGAGGAGACTAAGGGGGGATATGATAGAAGTCTATAAAATCATGAGTGGTGTGGATAAAGTGAATAAGGAAAAGTTATATACTTGTTCCCATAATATAAGAACCACCAAATGAAATTAATGGGTAGCAGGTTTAAAACAAATAAAAGGAAGTTTTTCTTCACACAGCACACAGTCAACCTGTGGAACTCCTTGCCTGAGGAGGTTGTGAAGACTAAGACTATAACCGGGTTTAAAAGAGAACTGGATAAATTCATGGAGGTTAAGTCCATTAATGGCTGTTAGCCAGGATGGGTAAGGAATGGTGTCCCTAGCCTCTGTTTGTCAGAGGGTGGAGATGGATGGCAGGAGAGAGATCACTAGATCATTACCTGTTAGGTTCACTCCCCCTGGGGCACCTGGCATTGGCCATTGTCGGTAGACAGGATGCTGGGCTGGATGGACCCTTGGTCTGATCCAGTATGGCCATTCTTATGATCACAGTAATAGGGTACAAAATATATCAGAGGACAGAACAGGTCGTGCTTGTGGGGGAGTGTTACTATATGCGAAAGAAAGCATAGAATCAAATAAAGTAAAAATCTTAGATGAATCAAACTCTACCATAGAATCTCTATGGATAGTAATTCCATGCTCTAATAATAAACATATGGCAGTAGGGATATACTACTGACCATCTGACCAGGATGGTGATAGTGACTGTGAAATGCTATGGGACATTAGAGTGGCTATAAAAATAAGAAAATCAACAATAATGGGGGATTTCAACTATCCCCGTATTGACTGGATACATGTCACCTCAGGACGGGAGGCAGAGATAAAGTTTCTTGACACCTTAACTGACTGCTGTGACATTCTATACCTTGGAGTGTCCTGTAACCCCCGTATTCTTCATTTATATATAATTGTGATATTGCATATAAAGCAGGCTATGTGAGGTTCCGGGGAAAGGTTATGATCTGCTGAAAGTCACGGTTCTATCTAAATATGTATATTATTAATGCATATGAAGTTGTGAGAATTGTGTTGTATCATTGTCACTAAAATATGCTATGGGTTTGGGAAGTGCCCAGATACTGGCTCTACAGAGACAATGCCAAGGAAAGTAAACAACGCCCGAGCAGGTTTGAAACAACCATTAACAGCCATTGTCCAGCAAGGGAGCTACAATTCAGTGACTCACTGGCATAAGGCCACACGAGGGGAATTGCTCAACGTTGCCTGGTGACAGCAATGCCCACCAGACATGCCTGGATTTGTGTTCTCTAGCACGTGGGACCAGGGTATAAAATAGAACACAGGGCCCCCATGCTTGGCCTTTCTCCTGCCCCCATCTATGCTGCAAACAACAAAGGCAGGCCTTGTCTACACTGGCAAGATTCTGTGCAGTAAAGCAGTTTTCTGCACTGTAACTCCCGAGGTGTGCACACGGCCAAGCCACTTAGTGTGCAGAAACTGTGCAGTTGTGCTGTAAAAAAAACACCCCAACGAGGGTTTCAGCTGTCTGTGCCGGGGCTACTGCGTTGCCGTGCCAGTGTAGACACCGTGGTGACTGGTCAATTACAGGGCTGTGATTGGCCTCCAGGAGGTGTCCCACAATGCCTGTTCTCACCTCTCTGGTCATCAGAACTCTACTGCCCTGCCTTCAGGTTACCAACCGTCATCCCCACCCCATAAATTCCTTTGGAATTTTGAAAGTCCCCTTCCTGTTTGCTCGGTGAAGTGTGTAGTGGTCTCGGTGCATCTTTCCAGGTGGCCATGCCTGCTCCACGCACCAGGCAATCCCCTGCTTGGAGCAGTGCCGAGCTGCTGGACCTCATCAGCATTTGGGGAGAGGAGGCTGCCAGTCCCAGCTGAGCTCCAGCCATAGGAATTATATCTGTGGACAGATGTCACAATGCATGACAGAAAGGGGCCATGACTGGGACCACTGCAGTGCAGGGTCAAAGTGAAGGAGCTGCAGAATGCCTACCACAAGGCACAGGAGGCAACCCACCGCTCCAGTGCTGCGCCCACGAGCTGCTGGCTCTACAAAGAGCTGGACGCAATACTCGGCGGTGACTCTACCTCCGTTGCTAACATCACTGTGGATACTTCGGTGGCTCGCATGCCA